TGACCGGTCAAATACTATTCTGTTCAAGAGTCCGTAAATAACCAGATATTGAAACTTTTTGTCGTTTTCGATAGAACAGATTTTAATATCCTATGTCCGTTTCCTGATTCTAAGCTATCTCTCTACCAATTTTCAATGATATCCCTACTATTCTTGAGTTATAAATAGTGTAACTAATACAACTTTCTTTTATATACATACTAGCTTTTGCCTACGACTTTGTCCGCGTTAGTTTCATATTTAGAAGTTTCGATATAGAGGCAGTAAATAAACAGATTTTGTATTTTATTAACAACTTTTTTTGGTTGACCGAATTCAAAAATACCCTATGTCCGTCTCCTGATTCCAACCTACTTCTGTACAAATTTTCAGCCAAATCTGTACAGCCGTTCTTGAGTTATAAATAGTGTAACTAACACGACTTTTTTTATATATAAAGAACTCTAAAATCAATATATCTGTACTACAAAGCTACACGTTATCAAAGTACTACCTACGAGTTAACATTTTTCATCCTCTGATATTGTAATTTCGTCGCTCTCACTCCGTAGTAATAAAGGATTATTGAATGCACTCTGCGTTAAAGCTTTGAAAGGTTCGCATTGATAATGTGCTAATACCAATTATAATAGCATTTATATGAGAAACTATTCATATACAGGGTGACTGGTGAATTACTATCAATATTTAAGGAGAATACTCGGTACATGATTCTCATTCGAATTATGTAAAAAAAATAGGCACTTAATTTTTGACCAAATTTCCGTATAAATAAATAAAGTGTGGACACATTCCAAGTGTGTGTGTGTGTGTGTATACTTAATCTGTAGGGTGTTCACACGATGCGTAATTAATTACATAACTTTTGGTTAACTTTACTTAGAAGTTTATTAATATTTATGTTATATTAATTTTTATTTTGTCATATATGATCGTCAAATATCACGTCCTCAAGTATCGATAGTAATTCACCAGTCACCTGTATATATACGTAGGTACATTCATATGAACTAGTTCTTAAGGCTGAATTAAAAGTAATTAAGTATTAAGTATTGATTTGTTTTCATTCATAATTATGATTCAATTAAGGGCTTTTTTATATATAAAGTATTTCTTTGTAGACGCTACATAGTTTCATTGCTTGAAAATATAAGCATAAATGTAAAAAATGTAGGTGAAAATAAACTTTCAAGTAATATATATTCAACATTACACATTTTCTGTTACTGCTCGTGAAAAGCCTGAGTTTTTGTTACCTTATTTAGGGTTTTACTACCTGTATATATGTCACTTCATCCCATCGAATAAAAGGCTTTGTTTGTGACAAATGTCACGATGCTTACAAGAACGGGATTGCTCGTATAGATCACTGTATTTGAATCCTTTTTACGTTCTCCAACCTTTGTTTTTAAATCCATTGAACGTATGATAGATCCCTACTAGTAATATAAATGCGAAAGTAACTCTGTCTGTCTGTCTGTTACGCTTTCACGCCTAAACCACTGGATTGATTTTAATGAAATTTGGTACAGACATAGAGTTGATCTTGAGAAAGAACATAGGATATTTTTTATCTCATACTTTTGAAAGGTTCTCTTGGAAAAGCGATATAACCGAACTCCACGCGGGCGAAGCTGCGGGCGGAAAGCTAGTGCTTTTATAAAAAATATTGACTGATTTATTTATTTACATACTTAAATCATTAAAAATAAATACAAAATTTTTACTTTAATTTATTCGATCTGCTATCTATTTTTAATTATTCTAAACATATTTATTTACCTAAATAATGATGCCAATACGGCAACACTGGTTTTTTTTTATAAATTTACTACTGGCAAGTATTTATTTTCATCTTACCATATAATATTATAAATTGAATGAATCAAGATTTTATTCAAAAAATACTATTTAAAATTCGACTGGAGATTTCAAGATTCGCAATTTCAGAAGCATTGCGTAGTAGATTTCCCTGGAGTTTTAAAACATCCTTTTAGATATTAATTAAATTTAATATTTTATTAAATTCAGGAAAATTTAGGTTCCGTTGGTATGATACTTGATTTTCTTTATACGTTCACTCCTTAATAGATTTAGAACCTTTATATGAATACAAGTTTAATTAAAAGGGATAAATATGTTGTGGTTCGAACAGTAAGTCTTGACAATTCGTATTATAACAAATCCGACAAATTTAACTGGTTCGTTATTATAAAACAACGTAATTATTGATATTAATTTATGAATCTTAAATACCAATCTAATGAATGTCTAAACTGTTGCTTATTGTTCATACAAGTCTCTTAAAACATGATAAATAAATGGACATGTAAAGTCAAATACTTAAAGATGTAGAAACGAAATATACTACAGTTTACTGAAAGTAACTACAAATTTTTTTTAGTTTATGATTAATAAAATTTTCCACATGATTGTAGCATAGTCAGTTTAGTCAGTGGTGGTGTAATGGTTAAAGGCCCGCCTCTCATACATGAGGGCGCGGGTTCGATCCTGTCAAGTACCAATGTGATTTTCCGAGTCATATGCACTTTCTAAGAGTATTTAGACATCACTGATTAATGCATTCCCAAAGGGGGTTGATGTCAGGCAGGTGGCCGGTCGTAAAAACAAGTAGCCAAAACTATTCACAACATGTAAGGCAGACCCTGGCTAAAGTTGAGAAATTGTCAGGTAGAAGAGAGAAGAGTAGCATAATGAATAACTTCAAACTGTAAGTCTGTATTTAATCGTGAAAATAGAAACGCATAGTAGAGATACAGTTTCACAAGTAATTACATAATTAAGGAAAATGCTTGGCCCTCTGTTAGCTAAATCCGTTGCTTAATAATTATTTACTTTGCCGAGTTGAGACGGACACATAAAGGCAGGAGTTTAGTTTGGACTCGCCAACTATTAACTATTTAACCCGCTCGCTTGTATCTACACACATATATACAGGGTGACTGGTGAATTACTATCGATATTTGAGGACGTGATATTTGACGATCATATATGACAAAATAAAAATTAATATAACATAAATATTAATAAACTTCTAAGTAAAGTTAACCAAAAGTTATGTAATTAATTACGCATCGTGTGAACACCCTACAGGTTAGGTATACACACACACTCACACATACGCGCGCGGAGGCGTGTTGTTGTATCAGCACGCCGCCGCACGCATCCACACTTGGAACACTTGGTACGTGTCAACACTTTATTTATTTATACGGAAATTTGGTCAAAAATTAAGTACCTATTTCTTTTACATAATTCGAATGAGAATCATGTACCGAGTATGCTCCTTAAATATTGATAGTAATTCACCAGTCACCCTGTATATACATATATGTATATATATATATCTACTTTATAACATGACAATGTGTATCTTCGCGTAAATATTATATTTGAAATAATTCTACATAGAAAATTATATTTAAATCTTCTAACATATAGGTAGATAAATACGAAAAAACATGAATTTGTGATACATTAGCAATAATTAGATATATATTTTTAGATCGCGTAATTCTTTTTATATCAATATAAATAAATAAGCACACGGTTGCTGTAGAATAATCGAAAGGTTAAGAAAATGTAGAAATATAATTAAAAATAAGGCTTAATATCGAAATAATTAAGTTTCTTTCAAGTGTTACGTACAAAAATCTGAAATATCATTAAGAATCATCAAACACAACATATTTATCGATATATCAATATACTAAGCATTCAGTACTCACAAAAGGCTATAATTAGGATCAACTTAAATCTCGGCTCAACTTGAAAGCTGACAAAGTTCGTTAAATCCGTTTAATGATCGCCAGACCTTCTAAAACCTGGCTAATTATCGTGCGTAGAGCATTTAATCCCTGATAACAGGCCAATCTGTAAAGTGAACTCCTGCTAGAATCGTTTTTCTAATGACTCTAATAATCTTAAGAACAGAGATGGCTATTCTAATAAGATTTACGTTATCGTTAAATTAGAGTTCATTCGATGATTAAAGGAATCGGGAGAAATATTGAGATTGGAATCGAAGAAGAGTTTTTATATTTTAAAAATATTTGAATTTTGTAGTCAAATATATTTTCCTTACGTAATATTGACAAATGATACCATAACTTTAATATAATGAGTTTGATATATGTATATATATTTACATTAAACATGTAAAAGAATAAATAACCCAAAATCCTTGTTTTTGGTCTTTTCTGAACGTTATTTAAAGCGAAATTTCATATTCGTTTGATTACATATCTTTTCAATAACAATTGAGTACCAACATACCTTTAATATTTTTATTATAATATACGCTTCTGGTTAAATTTAGGAGGGTTACTTAAGGTTTGTAATATTATTCTATATTAGGTTTTAAAAGTAAATAATAAATTATAAAGTCTAGTGTAAACTATATTTAGAATTAAAGAAACGAGCAAATGATAGCATGCTTGAGGGTACACACATGTGGTACATGAATTTAAAATGTAGTTATGACAAAAAAGTATATTTAAAATAAAACAAAATACAAGATTAATAAGTTACAGTCATCGCGATTACTCTGTATGTAAAATCCATTACTGAGAGTAAGATACAAAAACATACTGAATTAAATACAAAGTAAAAATTAAATAAAATAGATATCTTAAGAATTATGTCATACATATATCTGTCCTGAATCATGTGGTTTATGATATTAATTGTCGCGGGATTTTTTTATGCATATTTAGTGAAATATTATTAACGGACTATAGATTAAATATTATTACTTATTGACGCACTTTTAGAAAATTAGTATGGGACCCATGGGCGTACCCAGGTAGGGGCAGGGGGGGGCAGCTGCCCCCCCCTGAATAATGTTGACGTCCCTACTAAGTACCTTATCATGTACTTTTATCGATAAAAATTAAGAAAACATTTTTTTGCCATTTGTTTGTATTATTAATACGATATTTTAACAGCTAAAAATTACGCGGCGCGTTCGTTACCCATACCCATAACAGCTCGCTAGCAGTGCAGCGCTGCGGAGCCCGCCCGCATCTACACGACACGAAGATTATCGAATCGTACCGAGCGACATCGAGTGCCGCGAAATCGGGAGAGAGTACGAGCGAGCGGCTTGCATTTGTTTGACAAGTCATTGTTTTCAAACTGCACGAGTTTTGATTGAATTAAAAACATAAATAAGGTTTTGTTACTGAGTTGTAGTATTGTGATATAATTAGGACCTAAGTAGGTACCTATATGTATTTCTATTTATATTCTGATTTACTATAACAAAATTTTGAATGAAAATGGATATTCGGAAGTTTTTTGGTAAGTTTTTTCTATTACCTACTTATTTACTTAATAAGTCTGTTATTTTTTTTATTAAAACAAGACAATCACAATTGTTTGAAGGATCTACTCTAATTTTTTTTAATAACCTTTAGCAATCTATGAAATAAGATTTGAGGATTTGATGCTTCAAACGTATTTTGTTACTGATGTCATTTGTTACTAATGCATATGCATTGTAAAACTGGACGTCCAATTTGTCTAGTTTCGGCTTGCGGTTTTAACTTTTTTATAGTCATGCCGAAGAAATAAACGTATTTTTTATAGCTACATTACCGTATACCGTATTTTATTTTTGCAGCAAAAAAACGGAAAATTACAAGCACAGAGGATGATGATGCCAGGTGCAGTAAACAGTTGCAGCAGTCTAGTGAGGTGGATTCAGCGCCAATAACACAATCTTATTCTGCTAATAAAAAATTGTGTAACTCTTTAGTTATCCCGCAAGATTCAGAACCGAAAACCATAAATTCTTGCAGTATTGTTAATGAGGTAGTATCTGAATCTCGTGCATCTACATCTACGTCTATTCTGGATGATGGAGCGAATTTTCATGAAAACGATATCGGTCGATGGGTTGGACGGTCTTTCGTACTGACAACGGAGAAGCGAATGGAAATGTTAAAGCGATGCTGGGTACCTTCAGAAACTTATGATTTTGCTGGCGATGCTACACATTTAAAACGCAAATTTAACCACTCTTGGTTAGAAATGTACAAACCGTGGCTTGTATACTCAAAGAAATTGAAAGGTGCATTTTGTTTGTTTTGTGTTTTATTCCCGCCGAAAGTCGCACGTGGTGTACAGGGATCTCTAATTGTTCGACCATTTACCAAGTATAAAGATATACATATTTATTGTAAAGCGCATGTAGATACTCAATGGCATAGAGAGTCGAGTGCGTCTGCCAATTCTTTTAGCAACATTAAAACAAATGTACAAGTTGCATTGCAAATAGGCCGCGAAAAAATTATTGAAGACAATAGAAATGCATTGCTACCTATCAGTACAATAGTTTTTTGTGGAACACATGATTTGCCATTGAGAGGAAAAGAAAAGGATGACGGCGTTTTTCAAGATTTGCTTCAATTAAAAATAAAATCTGGTGATGAAATTTTGCGGCAACATTTAGAGAAGGGTCAAAAGAATGCTCAGTATACGTCCCCGAAGATACAAAATGAAATTTTAAACATATGCGGTGTTCTAATAAGAGAAAAACTGGTCGATAACATTAGAGTCGCAAGTGCTTTCAGTATTTTGGCTGATGAATCAGCAGATATATCTGGTAAGGAACAACTAGCAATAGGTCTTCGATATTACGATCAAAAAGAAAAAAATGTTAAAGAAGAATTTATGGGCTTCGTAGAGTTCTACCCGAAGGTCAAGATAGCTTTAGAAATTTTGCTGGCAATGCCGTATTCCACTGCTACGATTGAAAGGTCGTTCAGTACACTTAGACGTGTAAAAACGTGGCTAAGATCGACTATGACAGAAGATAGATTGAATGGGCTTTGTATGCTCAGTGTGCACAGAGAATTTGTTAAAAGTATGAGTGATTCTTTCACGGAAAGCATCCTAAATCGTTTTGCTGAAGACCCTCGAAAATTACTTTTAAAATAGCCATTGTACAGGGTGACTGGTGAATTACTATCAATATTTAAGGAGCATACTCGGTACATGATTCTCATTCGAATTATGTAAAAAAAAATAGGTACTTAATTTTTGACCAAATTTCCGTATAAATAAATAAAGTGTGTACACGTTCCAAGTGTTCCTAGTGTGGACGCGTGCGGCGGCGTGCTGATACAACAACACGCCTCCGCGCGCGTATGTGTGAGTGTGTGTGTATACCTAATCTGTAGGGTGTTCATACGATGCGTAATTAATTACATAACTTTTGGTTAACTTTACTTAGAAGTTTATTAATATTTATGTTATATTAATTTTTATTTTGTCATATAAGATCGTCAAATATCACGTCCTCAAATATCGATAGTAATTCACCAGTCACCCTGTATAAGTACCTAGTTAAAGAATTTATATAAAAAAATATTATCTATTTTAATTTAAGTTTTTTTATTTTTAATAACCACCTCACCTAGCTTATAAAAATAAGATTTGCCCCCCTCTGGACCAGAACCTGGGTACGCCCATGATGGGACCAATGACATCAAATTGATCAGGTAAAGAGAATGGACAAAATCTGTTCATTGATGACAATCTGTTGCATGGTGCTTAAAGTGCGAGTGTGTGTGTGCGTGTGTGTCTCTGTCTATGTCTGCCTGTGTGTGTGTGCGTATGTGTGTGTGTAACTCACACATAGATTGGAGGATTTGGAAGACCGACCTGGGCCCTAGAGGTAGTTCTTATTGGTTCGAGTCTGTCTTATATTGGTCCTGGAGTATAAAAACATCACCTCTTTTCCAAAATGATGTAAGGCATTCAGCCCTCACGCGTAGCAAAATAACAGATGAATGGCAGTTACCTAATTGTTTTTTTTTTATATATTATACTATTTGGCACTATTATCATCATTATATAGTAAAAATTTGCTGAAGTAATGTTCAACAGAAATTCTCAATTACGAGCAGTTCACGAACGGAGATAAAATATTTTTATTTTAATAATATGGAAATTAATCTATTCACAAAACAAACCGATGAAGAGGCAAAATAAAGACCAGAATTACGAAATAAATTGATTAGGTTTAATCGGTCCTAATATTGACATTAAAAGCACTTCTTGTATCTCAACAACTTCTGAACGGAATAATGAAATTTAATAATAAGCATAGTATAAAAAATTTGAAAAATAATTTCAAAAGTATTTATTGCGATAATACATATTAGACTCAACATTATTGGTGATTTTGTTTAACTTGTTAAGGGACCTTATTTTAAATATACAAATTTTACTATATATAGTTTTATTTGAAAACTTACACACTTCAACTAAAACACTAACCAAACAATACTATTCTTATATATTTTTAATCTATGTCTTCTTAAACGTCACTTTTTCCAAATGACATTTAATGACTAAATGACAGTTGACTTTATTTTTTTTTACAGCGTGTTTTTATAACGCTCAAAGTCTTATTTATAAATCCACATTATCGCGTTGATAAGCTCTACCCATTCGTGCGTATAAGCTTGTAGCTTGTATACAAGCCTTACTTCCGTTAATACTGTTAATTGTGGATGATTAAGTATTTAAACATTAGGGGGTAGTTCGTTAAAAGTTTGATACAGCCTTTCAAATTAATTGTTAGAATAATTTTCTTTTTAAATATATGCTTTTTATGTATATTATAATATAATCTGTGGGTTGAGGCTGAGAAAATATTATTTATCTTTTATTTTGTTTTAAATTACATTCTCCTGTTTTCTGCCATTCCGCGATAAGGATTGCGCATTCCGCAAACATTTCTTGCTGTTTTTTTTATACATTCTTATTAAATATTTTTTATACTTTTGATATTATTATATTTAATCTATGCTCCATTAGATTTTTATTTATAAAACTAAAGAAAATATGAATAATACCACTGAAATACGTTGCAAGAAACAGTAGTTATAAGTTTTGGAATAATTCATTCATTATACGCTTTCAAGTTTCAGCCTCGAATCTTAATGTGTCGTTTTCGAATAAAATAAATTTTATTAAAGAGAAAATAATAAATATTATACATATATAATTTTTTAATTAAATCAAGTTGTAATTTAAATAGTATGTTTTTTTAATTTAAAAAGTTGCTCTTAAGGTCAATAAACTTCCCACCAATTTGAATCTGTTGTTAATAGTGTACTGGAATAGCGCCATTTTTGGAATATCTTTTTCATTTTTTTCACATCTAAACGAGATATTTGTCACAAGTCAGTCAAGAAATAGTCTTTAGATATTATTAAAGGAATTTATATGTATATTTATCAAAAAAGGATAGAATTAAAAAAGGTGGTATAGGTAAGTCTAATTTCTTTTTCTATGCCGTTAACCTGTTTACGATTCGAAATGATGTAGTACAAACGATGAATAAGATCTTTGATGTTGCTTAGCACTTAAAATGTAATTTGCTTTACATTATAATTTAATGTACAACGAGCTACAAACGTTCCTTGACAAATTTGTCGTTTTAGTCAAATATTTCATCAGACCATTCTATTATTAAAATCTACATATTTTCTGGTGCTTAAAATTTAAAAAAAATCAATTAAAGAAGAATTTTTCAGTCAAAAAAAAAGATTTTTATAAATTAATACGTTGCATGCATTAAAATTACTCACCAATTTTATTCATAAATTTTAATCCCATACGCCTTTTCATCAATTAAATCCCCTTTCATTGATGAAGTGACACTTGTGACATACAATTAAAAAAATTCTATTTCACGTACAACCTTTTTGGTACAGATTTGTACGTTACAAATGACATATTTACAATGAATTGAGATGTATTTATAACAAAAAGGTATGTTTATATTTAATGGGTGATGAAAACTGTTTGATACCATTCAAAATTGGTTCGCGATTAACTATTAGAGAGGCGGTATCTTACCGTTTGTCATAACGAGCGTATGTAAGGGACAGTTCGGGCAGACTGTTGCTTGCTGAGGTCCGGGCCGAGATTGCGCGCGCATCACCCCTCCCCCGCCGCTGTGACATGTTTAAACACGTTTCTTTGTCTTGAGGTAATGACAAATAGCCATCAAAGTGGTTATGCATTTTTAATTATACTATAATACTGTCATTATTGACAGCCATTCTGACAACATCATGACTTATATTGAAGAAAAGTATATAAAACAATCAGGAATGAAATAAAAGAAACAGAATTTTAGATAGTTAAATGTTCTGTTAAATTTTCAAATGTAATTTAAATACGTATTATTACAAGCGAGTTATTGTAATCAAAAACTTTTATAGGCGTCCTTAAATTCCCTGGACATGTCCATGAGTAGTTTTTTCACTCTATTTTCCGTTATATTAGCCGAGCACAAAGCTTTGTCGCGTGGGTCGTTCCAGCCGCCCTCGCCTTCTAAAACATCGAAAAACATGTACTCATCGTCTTCTAGTTCGATATGTGTGTACACTTCTAGATATGGCGGGAAAAGATTACTCTTCAAATGTCTTTGCATCCTCAGAGCGTTTACTACATTATCCTCGACATTACAGGATTCATAAAAGCCATTGAAAGAGCATAAAGAGGTCTTTATTGCTCTTGGTATAGTGGTGTAGGCCACTTTGAATCTTTTATTATCTCTTCTATTCAATGATATGTAGAATAAGGAGCGAGACCACGACGAATCATCCACCTCGCAGAATAGATCGTAGTGTTGGATGATACTATTCCAAACTGTTACATCAAATGCTAGCACGCTAGAATGCTGTTTGGGATCCCATGTCGTAATATCTATGTCATAAGTGTCATTTTTCAACGACCACTCGTGCAGCCCTAAATACATGAATTCCACTTGCGGTAGGGATAGCGTCAACTTGTGCATATAAACTGTCATGTAGAGAAAATCTTTTAGAAGGAAGACATCGTCCTCAAGAAATACAACAAGTCCATTTTGATTGTTAAATGATAGAAGATGTTCGAATACTCTATTCGCGGTCCACCACCAATAATGTTTTTGCTCGGCTTTTTCCGGTTGTCTATATTTACCATGGACGTCGGGAGTTTGTGCTCCATTACACTTAAGTGCTTCGGCTTTTTTGTGTTTCATATCACTAGGACAATCGTTTTTACTGAAACCTGGAAATTCATCCGTATAAACCTGCAGGGTATACGGATAATATATTTGCAAGACGCGACAGAAGTCTATGGTTTGAATGTAGTCGTGCAATTCTTGGTCATACGTTAGGTGTGAGAATACAAGTAGCGTTTCTTCTACAGCGTCTAAATCGCTGAGCGACGCTATAAGATATTTCAAAGATTCGTGTAATTTATTCACTGTGATTACAAGAACAACACTATTATTCTTTACAGGTCCAAAAGTCTCAATATTCCTAATTTTTTCGTCTTGATTATATTCAGTTATAAGTCGCTTCGCTTCAGTGCTGTTTAAAATCGGATAAGTCATCTCTTTGTATAGTATAAATTTTTGTGTATTTTCTGAAAGATCTTTCAAAACATCTTGCCTATTCGCTCGTATAGACATGTACAACAAGATGAACATAGAAAATATTACACTGAACAGCAAGCTGTTGCCAAAAGCGATGCTATGATAAAACTTCGCTTCTATCATTCTTGCGACCATCCTTTTCAATATGGACATATTAAATAATAAAACTATTTCAATATATAACAACTAATAACAAACTATTTTAATATAAAATAAAATATTAATCTGTTATACTGTCAATGTAATGTCAAATTAATGGTTTGCGTTCTTAAATAATGAGTCGGTTCAATATTAATCCTTTGTGATATATTAAACGAATTATTAAATACATTGTTGGTCATTCATTCTTTAAAAGAAGTGCAAATATAAGAAAAATTGTAAAATGTGTATTCATTCAAGTACACCATAATATACGATAACTAAAACACAAGAAATTATGAGGTTATAAATATACGATCTTTAAAACCATATAAATTTATTTACAAAACTTTTTTGACAAACTCTTCTTAAAATCCTCAAAAGTATGTAAATTGAAACACAGCTTATATAACGGCTTCTCTGAGATAAAATGCTGAAGATTCTAATAAAGACAATATTTAAAGAGTGTTAGAGTATTCCAATATTTTTAAGAAAATTACTTTGTTTACATCCATTCCATAAAGGTATATTAAGTTGTTTCTTCGACGATAAAGGATTATGAACTAATTCTTTTATACTCTATATTTAGTAATTTTCTTGAGTTTCTTGACAATTCATATATACATTTTTACTAACATTTAAAAAGCTCAGTATTTGTATTATCAAGATGTTTTGTAGGTGGTAGAGCCTAGCTGTGGTCAAGTTACTGCAGCTCAAACATGGGCTGGCTCGACCGGGGATGTACCACCCTCTCACTGAAGATCGGCGTGAAGTAGTCTTTAATAGCTACGTTTCGTCTGATGAGTGAGAGAGCTGGTTGCCCTTTCCCTATTCCCATCATTTCCTACCCCTTCCCTTTTCCCTCCCTTTCCCATTTTTTCCTCCTCCATTTCCATAAACAAGGGTTGTGACACATCCACATCAGCTTTTATGTTTCAGATGTTAATGGACGACGGTACTACCTCGGTTGCCCCCTTTAGACTTAAGTATTAAAAAAACCTATCAATTTATTGTTTTAAAGAATAAACTAGGAACAAATTTATCTTTTCTTTATTACATTATTTTTTTGAACCTTTAATTACAAATATATAAATATATAAGAAATAGTTACCAACCATTTTAATACGCATTTATATATTTTATTCAACCTGTCGAAAGATAAGTAATGAAACAACAAATCTTGTGCCTAATTATTATCTTCGTTAAGAACCAAAATATACATTATTTGACATTTCTAAGAACGTACTATAAAATAAAATATAAACCAAAGCATATCTTGATTTTTATCCTAAATTAATTCCTGCTATATTTAATTAACTTACTCTAAGTTAGCATACAATACATACAATAACGAACATTATTTAGTATCAAGAAAGAGATGACTAAAATACATAAATTGTTAACGAAAACTGATAATGTTTGGTATGTAGTGTGTCCATACACACTTAGAATAAGCATAATGTTAATCCTATTTACGTGGTTCATTCTCTATGATATAGGTACATTTTTAAAATAAACAGAATCAGACCTAAATTTTGCTATTATATTTAAAATTAATTTCAACCATTTCAATAAAATCTTAACTTTAATCCATTTTAGAGTTGCTGTTGCGTGTTTCTAGTATTAGAACATTATTTAAAAAGAAATCTTTTGTTCTATAATTATTCATTGATAACAGTAATATATTGTTTAATATAATATAATTACATTATCATTAACTGATAATTATGTGTTTAGAGCAAAGCCATTATTCATATTGTGTTGCCACTAATTTTATTCTGCCTATCGCATTTCGCATTACAGTCCGCGGGGAGTAGGGATAAAATAAAAGGCTCAAGCTTCAGACAATTGAAAGTTATCATATTCTTGGGTTCTGATGAGTGAAAAGTTAATAAATATTATGTTGTTGTAAAGTTTTAAACAACCTTTATTGTGTAAAGGAATTTATTATTATGTATAGTCCGTATAAGAATACGCAAATAGGAATTTTATATATTTTTTTGTAACGTGTACTCAATTAATTTACTTTCATTGAGTTGAAATAAATATTATTTTTAAACCACAGTTTCTTATCAAAAAGGGCACTACTTTTATCTTTTAAACGGATATACCAATACTATTTCGATAATAAAACGAAACAAGAAAACTTATCTATTGTTCCCCAAATAAAATATAGTAAATATTTTTTAATTTTGTTTAATTTCAATTATACATTTTTATTATATAATAAACTAGAAGACCCGGCGAACTTCGTATCGCCCTATAATCAAGAAATATCTGTTACGTTTTTTTATTTATATTTTTGGAGTTTACCTATTAAAGCCAGAAATCTCCGTGTTTTGAAGTTGCGACGGAATGATTGACATATTAGTTAGTTGTCAAATCTAATGTCAAAATAAAGTTTGTATCAACAACTAGTAATAAATAAAAAATTAATTAAAAAAACATTGTCCAGCGGACAAAATTGTGAATCTAAACCATTCCCAGATCCCCTTGAACACACACAAAAGATTTCATTAAAATCGGTCCCTTCGTTTGAGAGAAGTTCAGTCACATACACACTCACAGAAGAATTATATATATAAAGATTTATCTTTTTCTAAAAGTCCCTTGAGCTCTACAAGTACTATTATTTATATGAACACTTAAACTATTATGCAAATATTATGCGTCATCACGTTCTTAAGCAAAAATTTAACAGTTTCAGCGGGAAAAGTCCACAGTTTTCTCTTGTTAATATAAAATATATTTAATGAAACATTCACTCTGTAGCCGTTAATCGTATAAAATATTCTATTTTAAGATTAAAATTTCATTTAATTGGATATTTTTTTATTCACATAAATTTAAATATTGAATATATAAAAACTTTTTCGTTCAAAAGGCTATCTGGTGACGTTTATTGTATGCGTAAAATGTAGTTGTAATTAAAATAAAATTTATATTTGATAATATCAGATATCTTATTGAGATACAAAATATATTCATAACATAATTTATACAATTTTTAATTATACATTTTCTTTATGCTTAATAGTTACTAAAAATTATAAGCAGTTTTATCATTTAACATAAATTCGTACGTAGATTATCATAATTACATGATAACTTAATTATAACATAGTAAGTAGTAGGTAGTAAATAAATGCATAAATTTCAATATGTGCCTGCATCGATATATAATCTCTCTTAACTAATTTGCAAAACGAGAAATATTTAGCACCTAACAAACATATTTTTTTATAGATTTTTTTAATTAACTTTTAATTGCAGTGAATAAAATTTCATACTTACTATCTTTATAAAATAGCTCCTTAGTAAAAAGTGCTTATTTAAAAAATACATAGATAAAAATTAACTATAATTTATATGTCATATCTACACTTTAAATATAAAAAAGATTTATCATTATATTTTCGGCTGCATGTTCCGAGTCGTAACCACAGAGCTCGCGCAAAGGGAATCCGTTGGCGCAGTTAGTTGTATATTCATAAAGGCATCGTCGCAATGTTTACAAGGACTTCTGTTTTAATAGACTTTAAAAAAAACAATAATTGATATTTAGTCAATATATGTACCAATATTTATTTATGTAAGAAAACTTGTGATTTTAACGTATATTTAAATTATATATTAAATTATTATAATAAGAAAGTTGGAAATATTTTCATATTCATATATTTTATGTTGCTGTATATTCAAACATCAACGAGTTTGATAATAATTCTGTGATTCCGTTCGCATAATGCACTGTTGTCATCAACATTTTAAAATGCCGCGTTTTCACAACCAGTCAAATTAGGCCATGATACTTAATGTAACTTAACTTGTTTCATACATAATAATAGAATATAACATTTCTAAAGCTATTGAATTCGTAAATTTTTATGTTATATAAAGTTTTCTATAGCATTTTCAAAATAATATTACAAGACATACAATAAAAAATACAAAAATGAATCTCTAAACGACAACGTAGCATCCGGTTGCTTAACCAAGCCGCTAGACGGCGCCTGTGGTATAACGTCAGTCGTGTGTAATGTGTATCTATAGTTTCCTTCTGTTTTGAAACCCAAGCAAAGCTAAGTGATTTAGTTCCTTGAGCAATTAAAAAGGGTTTCACTTGTGTTGATAGTGTTAAACGACAGTTTATCGAAGATGGAAAAAAGACTTGTTTTGGAATTAAGGGGAAGGAGTCCCTCTCAGGTACAAAAGATTATTTCTTAGTTATATTGGAATGTTTTGTCGATACTTATTTCCTGAAGTACATGTTGTTTCTATGGCTTAAAATGTGTTATTAATGATAGGGATTCTATAGATTTGTATATAATTTGATCTAACACCGCTAACCTAGAATATATATACACTTTTGAGATGTGGCGTTATTGTTTATAGCATTCGCAATAACCAAATTTCTATTTATGTCCACGTTTTACTAGTGTATCCAGTTGTTATCACGTTTATAGACATATGTTTAAACGTTTTTCAAAGATCTAGACTATCAGTGTAAACAGAAAGTAAAATTTACAATACTTCTCCTTTTTTGAGGTTAAGTGTGAAATCGTTCCATGGCTTTATTATTGTGACTTTTAATTAAAACATGCGTAAAGTATGTCTTTATGTCGATGATTTTTCGATTATTTCAATGCTTATTAAATTAACTTTCTTGAAACAACAGTAAGTATGCCGCTTGTCACCGTATGTATCCTAATTTCCAATGAGACGTTTGATCATCTTATATTGGCCAAATTAACAACTTTCATCACTACTACAATAGTAAAATGTATTGTTTATCCAAGTGCTTTCATGTATTTCGAATAGTGAGAAATAAAAAGCTGATAATAGTAATTTTGCGTTGAAAAATGTTGAATGTATACGACTCTACGTAATTTCGCGCCCTTTCACTCAACTTCATACTTTGTACAATTACTAAGCGGCAATGGATTTAAAAAATTAAATGAGGAATATTCGTAGTTATCATTATATTAAGATATAACATTTTATTTTAATAAGTTGTTACAATTGTCTTTTATTGACGCACGCCTTACCAATAGAGCGGCCATTTTTATTGCGTCGCGATGATTCGTGTCATCCGCCATTGTATGAAACTACTACGTGGTTTAGACTAAAAACACGATTATTATTATAGCCTATGACGAACGCATCATTTACACATCCCTTCCAGGGTCACATGTTTATATTCTTTTTATAAACACACAATTGATATGTTTTTTTAACCAACATTGCGGGGTACCCTTGACAACTTACACCATTTTGACGTTTTAGCTTGCTTGTCTCACAAAATGTTCACAACGAGTCAATTGAAATACTTTTATTTTAATATGTCAGTATTAAAGTTTAAAATAGATATGTGGTACAAATTAAAATGAAACAGAAATTTAGGAGCAGATATTGCGTTAATATGTAACAAATGGATGAATAATTTTGTAGAAATGTATGACAGCCACATTCAATACAAAAAAAACTGCATACATATATGTACCTATATATAAAATACACTCAACTTGAGTATCTCATTGTAATTTTATTTATCATAATGTGAGTCAGAGATAACAAAAAAGCTAATACTTTAATATCTTAACAAAAATATACAAAAAAGGACATTAATTTTATAATATATTACTGTTAAAAATGTATTAGGTAAAATAATAACATTATTACATTTATACCTTTCTTACAGATACAAGAGCTCAATTTGGATAATTGTAAAAGCACAGCCATCATAGGCCTCACAGACGAGTACACAAACCTCGAGAACCTAAGTCTTATCAACGCCGGTCTCACAACACTTAAAGGTTTCCCAACATTACCCAAGCTAAGGAAGTTAGAACTCTCCGACAACAGAATATCACAAGGACTGAACTTCCTCAGCGGATGCAAGAAGTTAACCCATCTGAATCTTTCGGGGAACAAAATCAAAGATTTAGAAACGCTAAAACCATTACAGGAGTTTGAAAACCTAAGAAACTTGGATCTTTTCTATAACGACGTCACCAATATCGAAGATTACAGAAGTAAAGTGTTTGCTATGCATCCATCACTTAAATATTTAGACGGGTAAGTTATATAACATACATACATAACAAATAATATACCTATGAAAAGAAATACAATTATCAAGTGTGTTCAATTGTTAACTATATAATTTTTGTAATATTATTGTCATTTCTGTTGGTGAATTTATAAAATAAATAAATATTAGTTAATTTCAATAATAAAATTCTAAATATATGATTACAGTTTCGATAAAGAAGATCGTGAAGGTGATGATAGTGAGGCTGATGAAGACGATGCCGAGGAAATGAACGGAAATAATGATAGTGATGAAGAAGGTATGAACAACATATACTGATGAAGAAATATATTATATATGTACATATATATAGACATAAATTATCACTCATATACTGTCTTGAGTTATATAAAATTGAATGTATCTTTGCTGTTATATTAAATAATATATTTATATATGTAAATTAAATATTTAAACTTATATATAGTTCTATATTATGTACACATTCTATGTAATATGACATTACAAAACAGCTATGTAATTTGTATATAGAGTTATGAATGTTACATACAGTCAAGTATATTTCTATATATGTATAAAAATGGCTTACAGATTTGGACTTAGATTTGGCTTCTCTAGCGATTGATGATTCTATAACAGAAGGATCATCGCCAAGTCTTCTAGTATCTTTATACACAGTGTACGGTCTACTATTCCACTTGGGTTATATAATGAAAAGTAAGCATCATTATATACCTGATGCTTATTTATATAAAGGCTCATAGTATATAAAATAATATATAGGCATCATATATCAAAATATGTATGTCATTTTATCCTTACATTTGCTATGTACCTATATTCATTTTATCAAAATTTTGAGCTTAAAACCAAATAACTATGTTAATAATATTGTTAATAAGCTTTATGTGTGGGTAATATGTAAGTTTTAATATATTTTAATATAATATGTTTATTTTGTGTGATCATTGTTTCAGAATCGGGTGACGATGATGATGATGTATCACTGCGTGCCGTGTACAGAGACAATTTGGGTAAGAAATAACTATACTTATATATAATTAAGATAATAAACTAACAATAGTCAGTGGTGGCTCAGTGGTTAAAGGGCCCGCCTCTCGGCCTCTCGTCGCCGAGGTCACGGGTTCGATCCTGGCCCGGGCAAGTACCAATGTGATTTTTCCGAATCATATGTACTTTCTAAGAGTATTTAGACATCACTGATTAATGTTGATTCCCAAAAGAGGGTTGATGTCAGGCAGGCGGCCGATCGTAAAAACAAATAGCCAAAAACTATTCATGACATGTAAGGCAGACTCTGGCTATTGCTGGGAAATTGCCAGGTAGAAGAAGAAGATAATAAACTATTGGTGTAATATATAAAGAAATAGTTATGTTGGGATAAAGATTAATGGCCCAAATCATGTATGAGGGCTTATTTTTTATCTTGGCAAGTACCAATGTGATTTTTCCGAGTCATATGTACTTTATAACAATATTAAGACATCACTGACAAACGGTGAAGGAAAACATTGTGAGGAAACATGGACTTATAATTTCACAATTATAAGCTTGAAATCACCATTCTGTCTTAAGATAGCATGGTGATTAATGTTCTAATCTTCTCCATGTGAGAAGAGATCTTTGTTGAAAGGCTGATATAAATAAAAACAATAGATAAGCTAATCCTATTAATCATTGAGTTTAAATCTTTTGAAAATATTAAATTTTTATATTTTTTTTAGTTAGTTAGTTGAAAAACTGTTGATTTTATCAGGGAGAAATTATTTATTTAAATGCCAAATGTATAGTTATAAGCTATAACAATTACAAATTGTATAATGTATAACTTGTAATCTATGTATAATACTAACCATGTAACAAGTCTAAAGCTCTGCTTATTATTATTAAATGTTTTTCTTTAGAAACTTAACTATGTATAATGTATTCAGTTAGTGTAGTAATGAAAATTTGTGTACAATGAAGCAATTACTGATGTTTAAGTTATTAAAATTTATTTAAAGTTAGAATCAGTTACAACAAACTTTTACTACTGCCATACAAAAATATATATTATATTTGTAAGTATTAGTGTAATTAATATATACAGGGTGACTGGTGAATTACTATCGATACTTGAGGACGTGATATTTGACGGTCATATATGACAAGATAAAAATTAATATAACATAAATATTAATAAACTTCTGAGTAAAGTTAACCAAATGTTATGTAATTAATTGTCCACACTTTTTTTATTTATACGGAAATTTGGTCTAAAATTAAGCACCTATTTTTTTTTACATAATTCGAATGAGAATCATGTACCGAGTATTCTCCTTAAATATTGATAGTAATTCACCAGTCACCCTGTATATCTAACTAGCTTTCCGCCCGCAGCTTCGCCCGCCTGGAGTTCGGTTATATCGCGTTCCAAGAGAACCTTTCAAAAGTCTGGGATTAAAACAATCCTGTTCTTTCTCAATGTCAACTCTATGTCTACTAAATTTCATTAAAATCAATTCAGTGGTTTACGCGTGAAAGCGTAACAGACAGACAGACAGAGTTACTTTCGCATTTATAATATTAGGAGGGATCTGGAGTCCATACTTGTTGACTTAAAGACTACTGTTTTATAAATAAAACTGATTTTTTTGCATCCTCAGCTACCACCAATTGTAATTAACAGTGTTATTTTTTGTTTAAACTTTAATATACATAAAATTCTTGCATACATATAAAAGTAAAGATTGGATATTCTGTTATATAAATTTCAAGAAGTAATTTACGTGTAATATTAGTAGGGATGTGGCGCAAAAATAATATTAAATATTGAAGCCGAACATAGAATTTTAATTTACTGGTTATGACTTTATATTAATGTTGTTGTATTAAAGTGTTAATTATATGTTGTTACAGTTGAAGAGAGTTCAGGCAGTTCACTGTACGAAGGAGAGGAGGAGGAAGAAGATGATGACGATGATGATGAAGACGATACACACAAGGGTATGTACATATATATACTAGCTGCGCCCCGCGGTGTTACTCGGATTTCCGGGATGTAAAGTAGCCTATATCTTATTCCTGGACGTCAGCTTCCTGTATACAAAATTTTATCAAAATCGCTTCAGCCGTTTGAGCGTGAAGAAGTAACAAACATACACACACACTCACAAACTTTCGCAATTATAATATTAGTAGGATGTATAATATATCGTCGGGGATAGTGCAAATCCTCGTAACTAGCAATAATTGGATAATAAATAAATTATATTGTGAAAAAAATACTTTAAAAATCGTTAGTATAGAAAATATTTCATAAACTTTCTTCTGATAATGTGCTTCCAGTGGTATTTACGCGATTTTGCACTATCCTCGACGATATGTATTTAATATGAATTGTGTAAAGGGTAGTCTGAAAATACACTATAACAAAACCTAACACTGAATCAGTACTTTACTAAGTGTAAGCGTTTATGACGTCACCACAGGAATATAGCGGTATACTTATGATAATTCTTTATATGTAGAAAATTCTGATTACATATATAGGTCTGTCATATATTTTGTATTGTATTTACTGTCGGTGCATATGAAGTCATCATTCAATTATATATCGATACCTCCCACAAGTTGTTGTATGCCACAAAAATACTATTTTGCTTATTTTCTGGAAAATATCTTATTACGGCTCATTAAATCCATTCAAAGTAAAAAAACAACAAAAACAATATTTTTAAAGGATTTGTCAGACGCATACGTAAGTTTCAAAATTTGAAGATTTTGGTTTAATTTGAATCCATGAAACGCTACTGTAAATTTACAGTTTTGAGAATACAACAACTTACTTTGCATAAATATTACTCTCTAAAATTGTAACTGCTTCACTTTTAATTTATGTGTTGTTTTTTATTAATTAGTGTTGTTTTTTTTTTTGTAGAAGTAATTTAATTTAATTAGATTAAGGTGTTGTTATTAAAAACTTTTTAGACAGTGCTGTGAATACCTGTAATAGGTGTACATATGAAGACCTATACTTTTGACTATATTTTTGTGTAAATGTTGCATTTGTGTACTGTTGGTGTTCTTAAGTAAATAAAATAAAAATAAAACAAACTTACGTGGGACGTATCGATATATAATTAAGACTAAGTTCGTCTATAGGATAGTAATGCATAAGCGTTAGTATTGTGTTTTATGACGTGACAATATTCTCCAGAGGTCGACCAAAACGCGCACGAGGAAGAGAGCACTCGAGGTAAGAAACGAAAACACGAAGACGACGACAACTGAGAGAGGCCTTAGATGTAACAAGTGTACAGACACACACCAGCCACCACGTGAACCGTTTATGTAATTAATATTTTTTATTATATTGACATGCTTATTATTTAGTCTAATCGTTGATGCATGATCTAGATTAGCCCACGGATTTTATTGATAGATATAAGATATTTGATATTACACGACCCGAGCGTTCGTGAGTCGGATCTAAGTAGATGTTACACTTGATTTTTTTATTAAATGTACAGTCTTTCACACGTTTACACGTTTTTATAGTGAAAACTCACATCCACTAGCTAACAGAGCTTCACTCGACTTATTCAAACAATAAACGATGTCAATTGCTTCCTGTATCACGCCAAAAATGAGAACGTCTTGACACATTGGGTTCACTTATTGTTAATGAGATCTTTTCATCTTAGGAGCATTTGTATATAAAGCACGAAACTTTTAATAACGAAAACCGCCGATAGAGGGCGCTCAGGGCAGTGTTTTATATGAGGGTATTGGTAAGAATCACTTGTTACTGAACCGAGTGTAATCGAGATATGGCTAAAATAAATGAGAAATATATTTTTTAGCTCCCAGCGCCCTCTGTCGCGTTTGTTCAATGTTTTTCCCCCGACTTGTGTTTCTTATAGATTGTTGTAATATAAATTTGATTAAATTAGATGAAATTCTTTGATATCGAACGATTTCAGAGAATATTTTTCTACATCGTTTTAAATTTTAAAGAGCAATTTATGCACTAAGTATATCAATGATAATTTATGAAGTGTTTGGTTGTCATCGGTGAATGTGCCGGATGTGTTGAAGATGGTTTTAGTTAATAATTTTATTGTATTGTGTAAGTCATTAAGTTTAAGTAATTTACAACTTGGCCTGTTGATATATATTATAATCCTATTAAGACTATTTCTGGGATTGTGAAATAAAAACTACATACAACATCTTGTTTTATTTTATGTTTTGTACTACATGATCATTCTTTCATAATTTCTTTTTATCATAAAATAAAATCTGTGTTATTATAACAATTCTTTTGATCTACTTCAGTTGCTGAATACCTTGTTTATATTAAGACAAATGTCTCATATAAGGAAAAATTATAATTTAAGAGACAGAACTCAGTGTAACTAGATTCATTAGAGCTCTCAACCTCCCTTAATAATGAAGAAGGGGTTCAAACTTACAAAGGTCGTAGTAACTTTGTATGTATTTCTCATGAAAATACACATTATTGTCAAACAATAAGGAATACAATCAATTCAATATATCAATTTACACGATGGGAGTTGATTCTTTTTGCAAAATTGGATCAAAGAACAAATGTGTCCACATGTGCTCGAGCAGGAGTAAGTTGAATCGTATTTAATTGACGTAATTACTATGTAATTTGTAATTTTTCTTGCACTTATTGCTAGCTGAACCTAATTAAATACAAATTGACCATTTGTTTTTTGAAATAGAAGAATATCTTGCATGTTATATCACATGTTTTCTCTATGTCCTCTGCTTAGGACATATACAGAGTATTGAGACAAGATCAGGAATTTAATGTCCTATGTGTAAGACATGAGCAGATAGCATTGTTACAAAGATTTTTCTTTTTCTCATAATTAAATGATGAAAATATATTGAATGTCCCCTATTTAACACTGATATTGACTGTGGAATTCAGATTCATGGAACTGGGACAATTAACAGGAATAAATAATTAATTAATAATAATTAATTGTCAATCAATCAAAAGTTAAAACAAGAGGTTGTCTGTTGATTTTGATACCAAATTTTAATTTTTTATAGTTTAGATATTTGTACTACATAACTTCATTGTAATCGGTTTAGAAGAACTTATTATTGTTTACGAGTTAATTTTTGACTAACAATGTTAACTCGGCCTTGAAATATTTTTATATCCGTTGATTGATAAATAATTGTTTCTAGGACATTTTTGTGCTTTTGTGAATATTTTTTTAAGAAATTGGTGAGTTTTATTAATATATTAATTAAAATATTTTATTTTTCCATTTAAAAATAAATAAATTTTAAACAAAATTGACATAAAAAGTAATATCCTTTTATGTTATTTGAGTAGTACAACTCTATAACAATGAATCTGTCCTATACATAGAACGTAGAGGAAATCGAAATTTTTACGACATAAAATTTTCCATGTATTCTTGGACCAAAAGTAGCAAACTGTAACTTTTTTTTAAAGAAATTCCATAAATCCAACATTCTGTAGTCAGGAGGTTAATTTGAAAACGTAATATAGTGAAATGAGTGTGCAAAAATATACTAACATTTTTTTCAATTGTCTAGGAAAAAAACTATTTTTTTTTCTAACAAGATAACAAAAATAACTACCTAAAATTTTTTTTTCATGCAAGAAGTTGTTAAAATATTGTATGAAAGAGGAAAATATATGAAAATATGTTCATTTTTTATGATAGTATTAAATATTTTATAGATTAATGTAATAAAAGCAAGAATTGGTTTTCTTTATTCGTTAAATTATTATCAAGTAAGTATAATAGATATATTTTCAATACTCTCTTTAGATTAACTTAAATTAAAAGAGAAAGGAAAAAAATTGAAAATAATTTCGTAAAAAAATTGTTTATTTATAAAAATCATTATACAAGTACAAGAAAAAAACTTACATAAATACAAACAAACAGATTTTTAAATTTGTGTCTAAAAATATCAGAAATATTACACTATAAGAGGAACTTTGACTCACACACACTTATACAATCACACACAAAATAAAGAAATTCCTCACACATTCACTACAAAAATTGTTAAAACTAAAACAAATGACAAACATTTGAAATAATATATAACGTTTATCAAAATTTCAGCAGATTTTACTTTCTCACATTTTCCTTAATGTTAAACTATTCAAGGCAAGAAAATATTAAATACTGCAACATTCTTATTAAAATACGGGATATATGCCGTTGGATCCAATTAAAATTACATAAATGTTTTTAAGGCAGTTCACTAATAAGCGTAATCCAGTTTCATATATATCTATATAAATTTGACCGCTTTTGAGTTTGCGTTTCTGATATTTCGATAAAATGATTGATGTTACTTTGAATTGAAGAGCAATTTATTTTTACATATTTTATGTAGCGTATCAATGAATTAACATTTAAGTTCGAATAATTATGATATACACACTACTTGTTCAATTTTTATGCTATACAGCTATAATTAATTACAATTTTAGTAATTATAGCACCAAAATTAGAAACATTTTTTAAAGTCAAACTAGTGATTTGGGTTTCAAGTTTATGCTTATTATTCGTTTTTGTAGTAATGTGACAAAATAGCAAGGCAACTGTAATCTTATCATTGTAATCTTATTACGTCGACAGAATATATAAGTAAATTGTTACAAACATATGTACATCATGAATACAATACAAGACAGATGAACTCACATACAAAAATATACATATTGAGTTTAATTAAAATGCACAATTAAAATCCCTACTAATATTATAAATGCGAAAGTAACTCTGCCTGTCTGTTACGCTTTCACGCCTAAACCACTGAACTGATTTTAATGAAATTGGGTACAGACATAGAGTTGATCTTGAGAAAGAACAGGATAGTTCTTATCCCAGACTTTTGAAATGTTCTCTTGGAAACGCGATATAACCGAACTCCACGCGGGCGGAAAGCTAGTAATAAATAACTTTACTTATATTATTCACCGTACATCAGTAATCTTAACGATTTGCCAGGTCATTAACGCAAACTATAATCGGCCGGGTTTGTTTTCATCACGTCCCTATATCCAGCAGCGTGTGTGTGAATCCTCTCAATACTTCTGTATCCAACATCACCTTCACATAATCTCCGTCCTCCGCCCTTTTGATCCTCATCAGTTTGTGATCTATGAACTCCGTGAGATGAGCTCTCAACACAGCATCCGAACTACACAGAAACCGCTCACGAGCTAACGAGTATAACTCCTTTAGAGGTACGCCTGGAAATATATACTAGGTTTAGTGTTAGGATATATTAAGGCAGACCCTGGCTAAAGCTAAAGAAGAGTGTTTAAGATATATGAAGACTTGTTGAGTGACTTAAATAAAAGAAAATCTAGTGAATGTTAGTACTTTAAATAGATATATCATCAGCCATTTCTTAGATAAGGCCTCCTTCTCACATGGAGAAGGTTTGAGCATTAATCACCACGCTTGCTCAAGACGGGTTGGTGATTTCAAACTTATAATTTGAAATTATGAATCCATGTTTCCTCACGATGTTTTCCTTAACCTGTCAGTGATATCTAAATAGTCTTAGAAAGTACATATGACTCAGAAAAATCACATTGGTACTTGCCAGGATCTAACCCATACATCATGTAAAAGAGGCGGGCGTAAACCACTAGGCCACCACGACTTAAATAGAATAATGACCGGTAAATATTATTGTAAAGACAATAGAGAAGATAATATTTTGAAAAATAAATTTAGTTTACTATGTAAAAGTCCGGACAGGAAAGAATTGTAAAGAGTAAGAGAGTGGTGTTGTTGAGAGTGGCGTACATCAAATAACTATTACCAAATATTCTAAACCAAATTAAACTTATTGTTTTATTTCATGATTAAAATCTGCATTTTTTTAGTACATACATACATGTACTTTTTTTAATAAACTAAATACTACATAAGCACAAAATCGGCTTTTCTTCATACATTCGATTATCCGAATGTCTATCGACAACAATAATTAGTCCGGTCAATCGAGTTTCTACTGTAGTTTTACATATGTTTGTATAACCTTACCTTGGTAATGAGATTGTTTGTGGTTCTCCAACTGATATTCCACTATAATATTGAATATTCCCTTAGCGTTGTTCGTGAGTGATCTGTACACACTGTTAAGCGCCGCTAGCTGCAGCCCGCCGGCGTGATGGGTGTGCGCGACGCCCGGCGCCTCGTGTTCGTACGTTAGGAATGACGTCACGTCGTAATACAGGAACTTGTATTTACTCAGCTTACTGTGATCCCATACTGGAAATGTGAAATTAATCATTGAGAACAAAAAAATATAGTTATTAGTTGCAATTATTCACTAACTACAATTAACTCTATCCCCTTTATTATACTACTAGCTGCGCCCCGCGGTGTTACCCGCGGATTTCCGATTTCTGAAAACCGATCCAATTCCTGGACGTCAGCTTCCTGTATACAACATTTTATTAAAATCGGTTCAGCCTTTTGAGCGTGAAGAAGTAACAAACATACACACACACTCACAAACTTTCACAATTATAATATTAGTAGGATACATAGTAGAATTATTTTGGACAAAAAGATTAATGTATAAACAAATAACAGGGCAATAGACTTTTATATATTACTTTGATCTTAAATATAATTATACTGTATATTTTAATTTATGTAAGTCATACTCACACAGAGGTGCATTAATATGATCTATAGTGGCCACAAGTTTCACATGTTTCAGTGCAGCCAGACCGGCTAACATAGCTTGACATTTGCCGCTCCTCAACATAACACCATCAATATTATGTACAAAAACACACAAATATGTGTCTAAATCTTCTAATTGACTCTCTATAAGACATAACACATCACCCATATTGGAAGAAACATGACTATTATCTAATAGATCAATCAATATACTTTCTAGAATATTCTTCATAGTTAAACTAGGAAAGAAGCCATTAATGACTATACAGGGTGTGTTCTTTAATGTTTCCTGGAATCTTTGTACTATATTTCTTTTGGAACCTATTCCGTATAGTAGTATGTTAAAACCTTCGTTTAATTCGAATAACCATTTGTCGAACAATTGTTCATATGTATCTATAAGTTCTGTGATTTTGATTCTATGTTCGGGCGTCATATAATCACATGAGACTTGTTCATCTTGAATCTTCATATTCTTTAATCTGGCTAATGTATGATCCGATGTCGTTATCTGTAAGAAAATATTAATATTGATTTTTAAAATATCATATTAATAAAAAATAATTTATTTTTGTTAAATATCAAAATCAATTGGAAGCTTAATTGAGAAAGTTGTTTAACTGATTGTTTGAAATATTTTGAAACCAAAACAATAGTGAATAGAATAATAGAACATTCTTTATTTATAGATTATGTCAATTTAATAAAAATCTATACTAATATTATAAAGGTGAAGAGTTTGTTTGTTTGTTTGTTTGAAAGCGCTAATCTTTGAAACTACTGGTTCGAATTGAATAATTCTTTTTTTGTTGGATAGTCCAGTTATCGAGGAAGGCTGTAGGCTATATAACATCACGCTACGACCAATAGGAGCAAAGACATAGTGGTAAATGTGTAAAAAACGGGAGAAATTATTTCATCTTTGAAGCCTTCCGTTGCGTGCGCCGTGAAAACGGTTCAAGATACACAAAAAATATGTATTAAAGAATAATAGCTCTTTTAATGACCTAACAAACAGCCCTCGACAGTATATGTCTATCTTTTAGATTAACTCACAAAAACCGTTTTTATGGTACCTAATTTGGTCGAAATAATTTGTTAAAGTTGTATCAACATAATAATATTAATCTTTATTCAAATAAACAAATAAAGATGTTGTTGGTTAAGAGTACTTCATTGTGAATACAAAAAACATAGGTTCTATCCTGAAAATTCTACGGGAACTCGACCATTCGATTCGAACTATGTGGGAAGATCCAAAACTCTGCCGGAAGTCACTATTCCACGCAGACGGAGTCGCGGCAGAAGCTAGTATTAGTTAATAAAATTAGACATACAAGTTTGTATATTAATTAATACAAAAACTTTGTCAATTTATTGATAATGAAATGTAAAATTATAAATAAATGAAAATTATTAGAAAAATTATATAAACAATTTACAGCAAAAACTAAGAAGAAATTTAATGTTGAATCATTTCATATAACAGTAACATAAATGACTACTTTTTATTAACAAACTATGTATAACAATATATTAATGGTAATAAAACTCACTTTTTTAGTAGAATTCATCATGAAATAGTTATCAGATTTTACAAAATATTCAGAATCTTTTGGTTTCATTCTATTTTTGTTCTTAGTGTACTGGGCTCCTGTGGTTTTCTTAATTTCAATCTCATTTTCTGATTCTGATTCACTCTCTGATGATGTTGAACTCTGGAATAACAGAATTAATAATTTAATTAATTTACATAAAAATGTGACATCTTCCGTATTAATGCTTTACTAATATATTTTTTCTTATTAAGTTTATCTGAATAAACCTAAGATTTTTCAATGAGATTTAGTGAATGTAAATTCATCTTGTCTGCCTGTAATTATAGTTACTGCAAAGTAACTGAAACATCGGAAGTATGTAGTTAAAAATAATAAATAATCGAAAAATATTAGTTTTAATTTAATTAAAACTCGCGAAAGTTTTTGATTATTATAATTATCTTTTTCAACTAAATTTCGTTTTTCAAATATCACTTAACAATCTTTTCTAAACATAATTTGAAAATAAGTTCATAATTTAAATTGCTAAATCAAAGATGCTATAGTAATTTTAATGTATTAATAATAAATTTTAATAGTAATAATATTTCATACCTCATCACTTTTATCAGGTACAAAGTCACTACTGCTGCCTGAATAATCACTGTCTGAACTATTTTCAACTTTGGCTATTATTTCTGAAACATAGCAACATTACCTTTAATAAACACATAAATTACTTCTTGAAATTTATATAACAGAATATCCAATCTTTACTTTTATATGTGTCGAAGAATTTTATTTAAATTAAAGTTTAAAACAAAAAATAACACAATTAATTACAATTGGTGGTAGCTAAGGATGCAAAAAAATCAGTTTTATTTATAAAACTGTAGTCTTTACTCTTTAAGTCAACAATTATTGACTACAGATTCCTACTAATATTATAAATGCGAAAGTAACTCTGTCTAACGCTTTGACGCCTAAACCACTGAACTGATATTAATGAAATTTGGTACAGAGATGGAGTTGACCTTGAGAAAGAACATAGGATAGTTTTTATCCTGGACTTTTGGAAGGTTCTCTTGGAAACGCGATATAACCGAACTCCACGAGGGCTAAGCTGCGGGCGGAAAGCTAGATGTTATAACCCATTTCCCATTCCCACCAAATGTTATACTATAAACTAAATCCCCAGTTACACTTGCATAACAAGTGAAAAAAATATATTATGTTATATATATTAAAATGTTCACTTTACTTTTCTTAATTTTGTCCACAACATGTTTAGGTGTCTGTGTGTTTCCGAGATTTATTTTATGTAATAAATGTGTATTTTTCTTTGGTGTTTTTGTGGGAGATGGGGCCACATTCCCCACAACGGCTTTGACTTTATTCTGTAGATCGTGTTTTGTGTGACGGGACTTGAATTTAAATATATCCTGGCCTTCCACATCATCATTACTGAATAAGGCTGAAATAAAATAATGTAACTATTACTATAAGTAAGCTTATATTCTAAATATCGTCAATCTAAAGATACATTAACTGCTAAATTGCTAATCTTAGCCTAAGAAACTTAGTCTACCAAAAAGTATGTTATAGAGATAATTTTTCTTTAATATTTACATTGAAATAGTCGTATTTTACTCGAATTTTTATCAAAATTAAGAAAGGATGTATACAAATGTGTCTAGAGCTAAGAAAAAGATTGGTAACAAAACAATTACGAGCATTACCTTTAGGTTTGGAAAGTGATTCCTCGTTCATTTCTTCATCTGAACTTTCAATATTTTTATAACTTCTTCTCTTCGTGGGAGACGATTCAAAGAACTCATCATATTTTTTCGGTTTAGTTCTGAGTCTTGTAGCCCTTCTCGGTGTAAAATCAGGTGTAGCAAGCTTACTGTCTGATAAAATAATATTTATTTACAGTTATATGAAGTTATCGGAAATGTAAACAAATCTAATTATTAACCACGATCCAATACTATTTATTAAGAAACATATATTTAAACCAAAAATGAATTCAAAATAATCTCTTTTCATATAAATATTGAAAACAATATTGTATAAAATTACCTGATTCACTAATATCATCGCTATTCATTGCATAAATACAATAATATTCTAAACAAATGTAAGTTGTTCGTATTAAAATTATTTTGTATTAATAAAGATGAAACTTGAAAGGATTAATTACCGCCAAATTATACTTTAAAATCACATTGACGTTAAATATCCACAGATGTTTAATATACGTCAAAGGTCATAATATTGTTCAGATCAGTGCTGCCAGAATAAATAAAGACAGAGATTATGTACATTCTTTATTATTATTATTTAAATATACAGGGTGACTGGTGAATTACTATTAATATTTAAGGAGAATACTCGGTACATGATCCTCATTCGAATTATGTAAAAAAATAGGTACTTAATTTTTGACCAAATTTCCGTATAAATAAATAAAGTGTGGACACGTTCCAAGTGTTCCAAGTGTGGACGCGTGCAGCGGCGTGCTGATACAACACCACGCCGCCGCACGCGTGTGTGTATGTGTGTATACCTAATCTGTAGGGTGTTCACACGATGCGTAATTAATTACATAACTTTTGGTTAACTTTACTTAGAAGTTTATTAATATTTATGTTAAATTAATTTTTATTTTGTCATATATGATCGTCAAATATCACGTCCTCAAGTATCGATAGTAATTCACCAGTCACCCTGTATATATTAAGAATTTTTCATTTGTACTCTTTTATGTATATGAAAAGTAAATCCAAAAGAAATTGTAAGTAATTTTTAGTAAGTGGATGTAATAAGAAATGGCTGAATTACAGCAAAAACATTAAGACGCTATTTAACAACATTACCACACGATACGATACGTTTGGATCCAGTAATAATCAAATTAAAGTTGATTTGAATTTCAATTCTGCTTGAACGAATTAACAAAATAATGAAGTGAGTCGTTAAAATAACATATTTAGTGGGTCATTGCTTATATAACATTTATATTTGATTATAAATTATAATATTTTTAAATAGAAATACTAGAATATATGTAACTTCGTTTACATAAATGGACTGCGAACATCTTCAATGTAAAATACTTTCATTCATAGACAAATATTTATAGTGTGTAATTATGAAGCAAAATTCCCTTACGATAACATAAATATCTTCACGGTAATGTCACAAACCATGCCAGAATTTTATTTAGTTATAAAAATAACATTTCATTTATATGAAAAATGACATGCATACAAGCAAATTCCATTAATTTTGTATTTTTATTTAACAATTTTGGTATTATTCAGTCAATCTTCTTATTCTTCTTCTACCTGGCAAATTTCCAGCTATAGCCAGGATCTGCTTTACATGTTCTGAATAGTTTTGGCTATTTTTTTTACGACCGGCGGACTGCCTGACATCAAGCCTCTTTTGGGCATCAGCATTAATCAGTGATCAGTCTAAATATTATTAGAATGTACATATGACTCGGAAAAATCACATTGGTAGGTACTTGCCCGGTCCAGGAACGAACCTGCGGCCTCGGGTGTGAGAGACGGGCATTTTTAACCACTACGCCACCACTGACTTTTATTCAGCCAATGTCTAAGAAATTTTGTAGTAATGTTATAGAAATGCACAATACTTTCAAATAAAATTGATTCATTCTGTGCATAAATACTAATTTTAATTCCACTAGGTGGAAGTCATTAAATTATACATATTATTCAGTCAATTAGATTTTTCTTTTTTTACAAAGCATATTTTAATCCTCGGTATCATTAAGATTAGTGATGTAAGACTATTTGAAGATTAAAACCATAAAAAAAAATAAACAAAAATTTAAATCACCTATATGAGTGTGACTGACAATTGACTTAATACATATTTACATAACATCTCTGGTACTTAATAATAATTGATAGAAATTAGTATCTAAAATGTCATGAAGTTTCAAAATACATGCAGTGGACGTGTGTTAAAACATATGCACTTTTTGATGGTTCTTTTTTAATATCTCCATACATTAATTACAAGAAATTTGTACATATTGTAGGTTTGCTTAAATTTTGAAATAATTTGTCATCACTCTTGAGGCGAGCCCATCAATGGATTTTACATATTGCAGCTCATACTAGGGATATATAAGATATATATTTTTACTGGCAACACTAAACTTACTGTTTGAATGTCTTGCCAGTTACAAGACGTATATTTTAAAGGACACAAATAAAACATGGCGTATGTTACATCACTTCATTTATTTGCTCAACTTATTGACAATTTCGATAATCACAGTTATTGTTTCTGACATTGGTTTTGTAACTATCATATTACTCGACATCTGTCAGCGTGTAAACGGGTAGCGGGTATAAAATGGTACTATAAATATTAATATAACGGCCACGGAGCGCGGAGCACGGTGTACAACTAGGAGCTCGCACACGACCATACACTATGCACGTCCGACGACTTCACACGAACAATACTTACAAGCGACCGATCACTATAAACATCCGCTAGATGAACGAGGAAGCTTACGAGTTTATACATTAGCATATAATTTAGGATAAAAATCACATCACGCCTCGGAACGTCCGCGTCACCGGTACTTATAATATAGCACTTAACATCGTAATGGTGGGATCATAGCTATGTACATCGGCTATAGACACATTCACTATAACGGCTAGGGGGGCGCGGCTGAGATCAACGGGGGCCTGCGGGGCCGGGCGTCTTTGGTAGTGGCCTAGGCCTGGTGGGCCTAGTAGGCCTAGGCCTGCTTCACCCTCTTGCGCGGCGGGCCTATGGGCGGGATCTGCTGCTGCTGCGTCGCTAGGGCCCGGAAGGCCTCGGCTATGAGGTGCGGGTGCGAGGAGATCATGTTCTTCCACCCGGCCGTGTCCATCACGTCGGTCGCGTGACTTCTGCACAAACACAATATATGTATTAATAAGGGCAATATAAACATTAATAAATAAACTATCTACAGCTAATATGACATATAACATTACAAGTAACTTAACTTTACCCTTATTAAAACATGGCATATTATGTTTAAATCTTCAATCTTGTTTACTAAATACCATTTTAATATTGATTGTATGTCTAAATTACATCAAGACAATGTTCCTCTTATTTAAGTTTTGGACATCGGGACAATTTACCTCCTATCTAATACTTGGAATATGTCAAAACAATGTACATGTAAAAATAATCATTTATTTATTAAGTAATTCATAAATCACAATCAGACCAATCAATCAGTCTTTGTTTACTCGACTAAGCCGAAACTAGACTAATAAATAAAATGAACAAACACCAATTTCTTAATAAATAATTAAACGTTGGTCAATTAAATGCACAGTTTAGAAAATTCAAAATAAATGTAACAATAACAATAGTTATAAATAATCAAGTAATGACTGTTTTGCCAACAACAAGTTATAAGAATAATATTCTATTTTACTAAGCATATTTGTACTTAACCTTCTCTCGCAAGAACTTCTTAATTAAAGCTACATTGATTTAAATAAAAATCACATAGTAATCATTAAAAATCAAAACAATCCCGACGGTTGCTCGGATCTTCGGATGGCTTTTTTGGCCGAAGGTGGCCAAAGCCGAAGCTTCGGTCGGACACTAAATATTTTACACATCAGGACCAATCTACTTTCTGCCGAATACTTTGCATACTGGACAATCTAGCTCTTACTTTAGACTCTAAACATCAGGATAATCTACCCCTTGCCTATCACTTTCAATACTTAGTATACATCATGTCAATGTATATATATCTTAAGCCATATATATCAATATATACTGACGTGTTAATAAAGTCTATAGTCTGCGCCTTCAGCTGGTCTGCGGAGTGTAGGTCGGCTAGTATGAGCGTGTCGGCGGCCGTGTCCACTGATAGAGACAGGCACAGCGCCTCCTCACACATCACCTTCAGGCGGTCCAGGGCGTACTGTGGAACAAACAAACACACATACATATTATACTCTATACAACACACACATATATTATACTATAGTAAATAATACGTCGTCGTCATCAGCCTATCAGAGCCCACTGCTGAGCAAATGCCTCTTTCTCACATGGAAAAGGTTTGAGCATTAATCACCACGCTTGTTCAAGACGGGTTGGTGATTTCAAACTAATAATTTTGAAACTATAAATCCAGGTTTCCTCACGATGTTTTCCTTCACCGTATATCAATGGTGTCTAAACACTCTCAGAAAGTACACATGACTTCGAAAAATCACATTGGTACTTGCCAGGTTTGAACCCACGCCCTTGGCAACTAGAGGCGGGCCCTTTAACCACTAGGCCACCACTGACTATATATAAATAAATAAGTAAATAATACAGATGATATTAATAGCGGATATTCTGCTGAGACACACACACATACATGTTACACATGCATTATACAATACACATATATACACTATATTATGTGATAGTAAATAATACAGGAACATGTTGTGAGAGGATTTGCTGCTGAGTGTTATAAGTGAATGGTATATTGTATGAGGAACTGTTAAAATAAATTTCAAAGAAGTTTATATGATAGCACCATAACTTATTATTCAATAAATACAAAGTTTTTTCCTAATTTTAAGTTTTATATTGTTACTAACAAATTGAGTCTTGTGTTGCTTGAATTTTAAATTGAATAAATAAATAAATAATATCTATACCAGTTACATACAAATTTATCAAGGATAGGTTAAAATTTAAGTATATAATATGTATATAAAAATTAGTAAGTATGTAACACTTAGCTATAGCTTCCAAATTCCAAATGTAACATACATATGAATAGAACCTAAGGACACTGTTTTTTAAATTTCACAAAGATAAAAAAAATTAATATATAATAGCTATGTTATATATAATTTGTTTCCATTTTTATTAATTTGAGCGCCATCTATCGATAGTTTTAGCAGTTGTATATTTTAGTAAATAAATCTTTATAAAAAACATTGCTTTTAATTCTGATTAAAAATATTTAAACATATATATTTACTAGTAGGATATGTATTTTAACTCGTATAAAGCGAAGGTCGTTTTGTGTTGCGTTAATATTATCACAATGGTAAAGATAAAATTTTACTGGTACATCATTATTTATTCGTGATAATTTTTTTACACAAAGTCAAGGCTCAATTATATAACATCCAAAGTACGGAAGAACAGACGAATGATGTTAAACAATAAGAGTACTTATGTTATTTTAGCAGAAGAGCTAGTATTGTGTGAAGTAGAAATGTATATAGAAATTCTTTTGTTTTTCAAGATTATCGTCAGAATTACTTATTGATTAATTTATTGGTGATATTGTGATAGTTGTGTTTTCAAATACCTTCGAGTCAGTTTGGTTAAATTAAAAATTTTGTTATTTCCTTAATAAATTCTTTCTTATAGCTTCCTTTGACAGTGAGCAAACATAAACAAAGTATGGACTTAAATTATATGAATATCTACAAAGTTATGTAATGCTTTTGCCAGCATTAGTCGAATCATAGAGCCAGCAATATTTTTAACATCACTAAGCAAATGTTTGGCCAAGTTTGCTCCAATCTCTTTTCAACTACGTGCAATGCTCTTAAGCGCCACTAAGTAAATGTTTGGTCAATGATGGCCCAAGTTCTGGCCACTATGTCTGTGTGTCTGTGTGTGTGTATGTTCACCTTATCAGCTGCGGCCAGTAAATCGTCAGCCATCTTCTCCAAGTTGGGCGCCCTATCCGTGTATATGAACCGCAGCATCTCTCTCAACACCTCGTGGTCCACGTCTGTAATGTCGACTCTGTTCCGTTTCCTTTCCTCCATTTCGTGTTCAAACATCGCCGCGAATACTGGACTCCTTGCTGAAATACAAATACATGTGGGATTAGTTAAGGAAATAAATGAATATATATTGAATTTGTTCCTAAGGCGTAACAGTAATAGATAAATGTTTTTGTGTATGCTATTTTTAAATAGGTAAAAGATTTCATAAACGTTTTCGTTATTCACCAGTAAAGTTAATTTTATTAATTTTAATCACATTCCACATTTTCTCCTTTATTATATAAGTGGGCATTGTGGTTTGTTTGGATATCTATAATTAGTTATTTTTAATTTAAACCGATACTTTAAATCGATTTCGTCAAACCGATCACATGACATTAAATGCAAATACATTAGCAATTAATCTATAACGCGTAACTTGATCAAAGCTGAATCTCACAAAAACTAACTAGAAAATTAAGATAAGCCGTTACAGTTCCAACGATAGTAATATAGAACAGCAACACAATGACACACAGATATCAAGCTAATAATAAAGAATGAATCATTTATAAAACATAACGCGTATGACCACGGCGTTAACCCAAAAAAATAACTTCGATTAACCACATGTGAACGTTTTTCGGTCACTGATAAGCCTTTAAAGGTTCAGTCATGGGAAATTCCACAGGAATCTATCGATTTTTTTGCGTTTATTTGACACGAATCATACTCACCGGCTAATATAGCTTTGTGCGCCTGGAATTCCCTGCCTCCGACAGCTAGCGTGACGTCAGAGAACCTCTCGTTGTCAAACAACGCGCCGAGGTCGTCTGATAATCTGCATTCAGGTACTTTGAACTGTACCACGTTGCTCTGCCCGCTAATATTGATACTGTCCGCTACTACGGATACCTCACAGAATATAGTGAGCTTGTCTTCTGGTAAGAGACCGTTGGCTTCGTCTAGTAGAAAGTCTCTGTGGGTAGTTATGAAAAATGTTATTGACGAATGTTCTATACCACAAGTTTATCGTGAATAGGTACTGGATGTTTCTAGTCTAGTCTAGTCAGTGGTGGTCTAGTTGTTAAAAGGCCCACCCCTTATGCACGAGGGTGTGGGTTCCATCCTGACCCAAGTACCAATGTGATTTTTCCGAGTCATATGTACTTTCTAAGAGTATTTAGACAACACTGATTAATGCTGATTTCAAAAAAGGGTTGGTGTCAGGCAGGCGGCCGGTCGTAAAAACAATTAGCCTAAACCATTCACAACATGTAAGGCAGACCCTGGCTATAGCTGAGAAATTGTCAGGTAGAAGAAGGTACTGGGCGTTTCTAGTGTTTTTCGTTCATATATATTGTATAGCATATAATAATTTTGTGCAGCGATAACTTATCCGTGCCGAGTTCGGCTTGAGTTTAAAGACGGAGATTTATTAGTGTGGAACAAATTTTTAATTAAAACTCCGCCTTCTAGTACAGCCTTAACCATGCTCCAGATATAGTAGACGTAACTTCTGAAGATCTATACAGAACTTTATTATTCAAACGTCTAAAACGCAGCGTAATTTTTTCATATAAAATCCTCACTCACATAAACAGAGCGTATTTGTGTCAATTTATTATTAAAAAAAACGAACCTAATTAATTTTCTGGGACGTTCTTATCAAAGGTTTGTTATATTTCAACGTTTGTTGTTAACACAGAGTCATTGTAATGACACAGTGTTTTCAGTCACACAGTACATTTATAACTTTAATTATATAGCTGATGCTTGATAAGCAATAAATACGATGCATTATCATATAAATAATGAACTGAATAACTTGCTCTAGTTATCAGTGATTAGTTATCGTGTGATACACGGACAACACTTATTATTATAAATACATATATTACAACTCTATCGCTTCCTTGTGTGTGTATGAACTGATCTATATTATATGTGTGTGTGTGTGTGCATGTGTGTGTGTTTCCTCACCTCCTAATAAACTTCTTGAATCCCCAGTCCTTGCCCTGCACGAATCTGTAAGCGCGCTGTGATTCCATGGCCTTTGTCTCTTCACGTTTCGCGTTCAGTATGGAGAACTTAAACTTAGCACGCACTTCTGATTTATTACACGACACTAATAATAAATATAATGATAAATAGTCTTTGCTCTCCTCGTCCAGACCCTTTGGGTTGACGCGGAGGCACCACTTTAACTTGTCACTAGCACCGGCTGAGAACGTCGATGACTTTAACACCTCTCCCATCTCTTCTCTACAGAAACTAAAATTATTTATTGTCCACATGTAACTGAACTTTACTACCTTAACCTGGAACAAAGGAAAAATATACTATTAAAGTAAAGTCATACCAGCTTTGTTTTAGTTTAAAAATCAGCTATGAAACCTGATCACAATGAGTGTCGGTAAACCTGTCTGTCGTGCACGTAAACATATATTCCTCAAACCGCAGCCGAGCCACATCCTTAGTAGTTTGTGGTGTTTTTATCACTCTCGTTAGCCGTATAGTAAACTTTAACGTGACGTTTAGGACGAATAAAAATGTATCTTAGAGCGGAACTAAGTCGATAACGACATGACTGTACTGATAGATTCCACTAGATGATTGTTACATGTTAGTGCAGTATATGTCTCGGAATGTTAGTGACCCAAGTCGGAGGTGTTCGTTACACGCGTTTCGTTCGGTTCGTTTCGTTGGGTACACGTGTCGGGGGTCTCGCAGGTGATCGTAGGAGCCGAGGGGGTCTGAGCTAGGAGTCGTTGCCCCTAACCGTTGCTTGGCTTGCGGTGCACGGGTCTTCGGCCGGTCAGTGACCCCGCTCAAGGCCGCCCGCATCATCACGGCTATCTTGGACATATTACCGATGGCAAAATCCCTGACTGTTCGTCTTAAACTACTTTAAAACTTCTCTGGTACGAATTCGTTTCACTGAATTTTGTGGCTGTCTAACAAAATTGTTGGTACTTAGCAATGATTTAGTTCTTAGGACTACAAAAGTTTCAAAATTATATCCTGCGTTATTAGAAGATACAAGTCTATAGAAAACTCTTGTTGATGAACATGATTTTATTCAACTATAAATAATGACTCGTTATAAAAATTATAAATAAATCTACAATCAGTTTCCATGTCATGTGAATCTCTAGCACGTGTCTTAGGTAGATAAACATGAGTAATCTATTATTTCCTTACAATCATTCCCAAGTTAGCGTCAGGTGCAACTAAAACACCGTTACAACAGCGCACAATTCGACTGAGACCTTAATAACTGAACGTACCGGGGCCTCTTCTAACGAGTTTGGTATACCGTTAACATTCGCGAACTACATAGATTTTGCCAAAAAAGTACCAAAAAAAAAAACAAAAAAAAAACAATACCAGGTCGACTTCAAATCCGCACAACGGTAGTTCCAATTTCTCTCATCACCAAAATAATGAAACAGTAACAGATTCGCGGAAGTGTTTGTTATATATACGAGCGTATGTTTGTCCGTGTGTATCTACAAACACTATTGTATGTTGATCCGTCACTTCCAACTAATACACAGTATCGCCGGCTCATATTTAACTGGTCATCCAATACATATAACGTATGTTTTATGGTGAACAATTACCATAAGTTACGTAATTTCCTCGATGTTATAACCCACCACCGGTCCATACGTTTCAAGATCACATATAAACTCATTTTAAACACACGCCGCCGTGTTTTACGATTCCTTGTAAGCTTTACGATCTACTAGTTAGACGCGTCAATATAAATTATATGACAATCGAAAACGGACATAAAACGCTCAGAGCGAACTTGTAACACTTTTAATAATTACATTGTTATTTATAATGTAAGATTCATACATAATAAAATATGTCTACAGAAATAGTGGATGCCGTTTCTGTAATTTTCTAGTTATAATAAAATTTACGTAAATAAATTTTGCATTATTATAATATATCATAAAAATTAGAAACAAACAGATTAATATGTGAATAACAATGTGATCAGTAACAAACGTCTTATGTATTAACTGGTAAGTATATAGAATGTATATTATTTATAAAGATATCAATTTGACAAGCATATATTCTTGTATATCCCATGATTTGCATTTGAGTAAGTCGAGACAAACTCTATTTATTCATTCAATTTCGAATGCTTATTAAAATGAAGTTAAAAATTATATAATGAAATTGTATTTTTCTTATGTATATATAATAAGTATATAAGATAATGTATTGTGTATTAAATGATTTAATCTATTTGAGTTAGCGGTGTGGTAACGGTCTCGTTTGTCTGCTATCGACCGAGACGAGGCACGCCAGGTGAACAACCAATGGGGCGACGTCTTAACCTTCGAGATAGTGGATACAGAGGCACGAGGGCTCGCATTACTTGTACTATGAGATATAGTGTATTGAACTTACGAGTATTGTTAGAAAACAAACTCTTTAGAAGCATTACTCAATGATCTTTATGAGATTGTTTGTGTGTGTGTATGAGGTATGTATTATATTAAATCTAACTGAAGGAGTGTCCTTACTAAATAGACTCTTTAGACAGTCGTCTGTTTTTCTGTGTGTGTGTGTGAGTGTGTGTGTGTGTGTGTGTGTGTGTGTGTGTGTGTGTGTGTGCGTGTGTGTGTGTGCGTGTCCGTGTACCTGTGTAAAGCACCAGTTCTCGGCGACGGGCGTGTTCCCGTCGTGCAGCGGGCTCGGCACCCGGCTGACGGCCATCCCGCCAGCGCCGTTGGACGTGACGCGCGCCGACTGCGGAGCGGGCGCGCCGCCGCCGCCGCACTCGCTGCCCGACCCGAGCCTGCACCACACACCACACATTATACTACTACTGAAACACGCTACTACTACTACTATAACATAAGCCTGCACCACACACGACATATACTACCGTTCTACTCAGTGCCGGCGTTAGGGGGCAAAGTGTTCACATAGGTTTAGAAAAAAAATTTATACTCGATTTTGATTTCTTCAAGGGGCGCCAAAATATTCTTGCCCAGGGTGTCAGACTCTCTAACGCCGGCACTGGGTATTCTATTCTTCTACATATAACATAACACTACTATAGAACAGTCTACACTACTAGAAATAATATGGGAGATCTCGTCTGCCCGTGATCACGGTTGCTGCAAAGTAGTCGAAAGGTCGGGAGTATGTAGTCAAAATAATAAGATAGACGTAGTATATCACAAAGATATTGGTTTCATTTAAATGAATACTCGCGAAAGTCTTATATCTCATTATAAATAATTTTCAACTAAGTTTAAACTAAACTTATTTTCATACAATTCATGACTACTTTTAACTTAATTTTCTTATCTAATATCTTCTAATTTAACAGCATTGTTTCAATTCACATACAATCATGAGGACAATCAGATAAGTAAATATTAAAAATTTACTTGAAAGTGAAAATATTCTGATATGGTGAAATCTCGTATCAGAATTGCCTTACAGAAGCCTTGATGCTTGTAATAACCAGCCTCCCTTATAATAATACACACTGTACAATTCTTAACAAGAAGATATATTTGAATCTAAGACAAAATTGGTTTAAGCCACACTAATATTCAGACCATATTAAATCTCGTTACTCATTATATATATATATATATATATATATATATATATATATATATATATATATATATATATATATATATATATATATATATGTACAGGGTGACTGGTGAATTACTATCGATACTTGAGGACGTGATATTTGACGATCATCTATGACAAAATAAAAATTATATAACATAAATATTAATAATCTTCTAAGTTAACCAAAAGTTTATTTATACGGAAATTTTGTCAAAAATTAAGTGCCTATTTTTTTACATAATTCGAATGAGAATCATGTACCGAGTATGCTCCTTAAATATTGATAGTAATTCACCAGTCGCCCTGTATATATATTCAATAGTATATTGACTTGTTCACATCTATTTAATTATAATTTATAGTATTATAAATATATTTATATACGAAGAGGCTTATAATTTTTCTTGCAAAATTCTAAAACATATAGTTCAGCGTTGATTAAATATTAAACACATAATTATATAATATTTACAGTTTTCTTTTGTGATGAAGCCTCTATGTTTATCGTTCAAGCGATAATAGTTCATATTAGTACGGAATAGAGTCCATTTATGTTTGAAACTACATAATTGTGTGTATCATATATAAGTAGCCCTTTATATTATAATTTCTATCGACGTATTAAAAACTAACCAAGGCCCATGACATCGCATGCATACTTGACTCTAATTCGAAACCTCTAGCTAGTTGAGACCGCAAAAGGTCTCTACGGTAGGTCATTGTTACAGTTATATTACATAATTTTTTTTACCTAATAAAATAACATTATTTATTTAAACTTCCTAACAAAAAATATTGTTTAGTCGATCAAGCGATTAATAGTTGGTGGTTTTATCCCTACTAATATTATAAATGCGAAAGTAACTCTGTCTGTTTGTTACGCTTTCACGCCTAAACCACTGAACTGATTTTAATGAAATTTGGTACAGAGATAAAGTTGACTTTGAGAACGAACATAGGATAGTTTTTATCCCAGACTTTTGAAAGGTTCTCTTGGAAACGCGATCCAACCGAACACCACGCGGGCGAAATCTAGTGGATAATAAAATGCATTATATCCGTAAATCTGGGACGTATATAGTATGCGGGCTAACATGACAGTTATACAACAATAACATCCAAATATATTAAAGACGATTTAAGTGTATAGTTTTTTTAAGGTCACTATGTCGTCTGATTGTAGAGAGAGTGTATGTGGGACGACACAATGCAAGACATAGCCACCGGCCGTCCAGAGACTTTCACGAATTGAACTTCTATTACCAAATCCACGTTAGAAACTGTGTCAGTTTCATCAGACTGACATCCGCCGCCGTGGTCCGACTCCGCGTGCGACGCTTTGTTTCAAATAACATTTATATACACGACGATTACTGTACGAATATACAATACAAATGAAGAGAGGAATAATACAAGAGTTTTGAGAGAAAATTATATATGTATGGGATATAATTAATAAATTTCCACACGAAAATAAATCGAGCTATAACGGTTCTGTGTGTTTTAGATTTTAATATTAATTTATGTATATGGATTATTTGCTAAGATATATGTATAATGTAACGTACAAATAATTTGAAGTATATTTTCTAAAATATTAAAAGCACACAATTTACGAAATCCCTTAAGACATCTGTAAAATAAAATTGGTTACAGAATGTAAAGAACAAATTAATGTATTACAATCGTCTTGTTATTATTTAAAAATTATAGACATCAAGATTTTTAAATAAAATTTATATAAGCCATTCCACGTCCGCTCTTAAAATATATACGAAAGTACTAGTTAACTTTCAAAAATTAAAAAGCAATACTTTTAAAGACGTCATGCTCTGCGGACTGGTGAGTTACAAATCAAAAAAAAATCCCAAGCGAAAACAAGTTTCTCAAAAATTCGTTATAATTAACAAAATGGCGGATATTTAACTTATATAATTAATACAAAATTATCAGGGGCACGTATATTACGAAATGAACTTGAAACGCAATAAAAATGTATTTAAACGACGTTCAAAAACTCAGCAGAAGTAAAAGCTGACTGCGTTTATAGAAATCTAGGACAAAGGGAAACGGTTAGTGTAACAAAGTGCGTTTAACTTATTACGACGAGTACAAAAACTGTCCAACGACGAGCTAACAAAAGTAGGCTACATTAATTTTATTAATCGCGACGACCCAGAAAGGGACGTGATGATGGAAGACAACTGACAACACTCAAGAGTGACGGAATCGAGTCGAACCGTCCGAGATAATTATGTTTTACGAGCTTTGTATATAAAAATCGATGTTGTAGGTGGGTTAGTTCGGCGTTGGTTAATCGCTCGATAAGATAACTGATACAGTGATCGGACGAGGTCGGACCACGAATTCGCGACCGACTAGAGCGGCCCGAGCGACCTACATACACCTCGACACTCCTATACACTCCAACAATACGATCACATCACAATACACTTATACGAGACTCCCTTCAGGAAAACGAGGAGAATTCGAGTATTGCTTAATATATTTCGAAATAATGACTCATGATTGCGTATATTAAATTCTAGTTTAAACTCAGCCTTATCACCAAGCCAGTACTTTTAAAGAAAAACATATAGTTACATTATATTTATGTTCATTCAGGTTAACAAAGTGACGGTCATATTAAATAAAAGAATTAAGGACATCTGAAGCGAGGGCCATAAAATGAAAAACTAAAAGGCTGTGATCAAAACGACCACCCACGCAGCTTCGAATACGGATGACGGAAAAAAAACTAAGGCGATGTATAGGTGACTTTGACGGAGACGATTTAAAACATACATTTAGAAGGTTTCACAAAACTTTATATCACTTTTTGTAATACCTTTATAAAACATCACATGTTAAAATACTCGTATTTGACATAGTTATGTTCTAGACTGTGTTTTAAATACAATTGAAATGTGTTTGAGAGCCGTTATCTTGGTCAATACAAGATTCGCCTGAACCGCCGTCCGCCGTAACCCGGGCTCTTATTATAGATGTCACACGACACGCTAGCATCTTTCTATATTTAAAGCAACCGATGTCTCAATATGACGTGAATTCAAGAGAAACTAAACACAATATAATCATTGTCAACGGAGTTTCACAGAAATATCTACCTGGTTCGTACAGACCCTGGTGCTTCTGGCCTGTTAGTTGTTATACTATTATATACGATTTCTCCTAAATCTATACCTGGTCGTATAATAGTATATGTCCTACAATGGCCTGCCATTACACACTGTCAAACCAATCTCGTACCGCAGATGGCGAACAATATAGCGTTTGTTAACAAATTAGCAATGAATAATAAAAGCGGACGAGACAATGGTAACGGAATTAGGACATCCAACAATGAGTACAAGTGGATATACATTTTGGAACTACAAACTTGCCTCTACGTCATATGTATGACAGAGCAGAGGACTTATTTGAGGAGACAAATATGTATATAAATTAATTTATTGAATCAAATATTCATAATGATAGTACAATGCATATGCAGGCTCTGGGCACAGAGTTGTGTGTGTGTGTGTGTGTGTGTGCAATGCCCTATGAGTCAGGCGCCCTAAGGACGGCAAGAGGACGGCGGGAGGACGCCGCTTCAATAGGGTCCCCGACACAGAACGTGTGCATTGAGATTCAACGACCAGTCTTAAACATACACATAACAACATTACAGTGCATTCACATCGCTAGCAATATTAACAAGCTAGTGCACGCGACTCTGTCTGATATTCACGATATTTATTATTAACACCTATTCGTACTTGTAACTTAATCTATTTAGCGACTTAAACATATTATTAATTTTAATTATATATTATATAAACATATCCCATATAAAAATTCTCTTACACAATTAAACTTGAAACAAAATAATATCTCTAAAAAAAAGATATAAAATTCTTATCAAATTTCACGAAACATAATACACTCGTCGAGCGTCACTGAGACTGTCATTTTGGTATATATTATGTACGTGATATATTTCATTATTTTATATAAAAAAAAATATTTCGGGCGGACCGCGACCGAACAGATAGCGAATATTGATAATAGATCCGCTGTAATGGACACAAGGTTACAACGAATGTAGCACAAAAGAGCTATGCCAGTGAAAAGCATCGTCGAAGCAATATTACTTATATTGACAGTCAAAGAAAATACACGTCTTATGACGTCATCATAACAATAATTAAATCAAGAATTTATTTATGCTCAAGAAATCACTTGAATTCTAATCATATAAATGCCATATAAATAGCATTTATATTATATATTACTAACGTACGTATATGGTTGTTATTGTGTTTGATTCAACTGTTTATATTTCCGCGTGTCATAATACATAATGGTATATATAGGAACGTGATTATTTACTTGTTTCTATATAATGAGACTAAGTAGGATGATATCCATAGTTTGGTGTTATTGGTAACACACAGACGGACATACATAGAGGAACAGTTAAATGGTATAGTGGGTGTGACGCTCGCGACTCCACAATCAAACACACTAGCTAGCCAAGGTTACAAAAGCCGTCATACTCGGTCTTCGCGTCATATAACAATAAATTCTCAATGTCATAGCTTATACACCATTGTTATAACATTATTGTAAACATATACCAATTATTATCAATTAAACTACTACTAAGACATTCGGTTACGTTACGTTACGTTCGGTTCGTTCGTTAATTCGAATATGTATATATGTAATATATTTGGCGGACGAATCATTACACGCGGAAACAGATGACACCTATTTGTCCGGAGGACGGGCAAGGTGACCGCGCCACGTGCTCAGACGTACGATCGACAATCGACATACAAGCTTTATATCGATAGAATATAATGAAAATCGATATCGATAAAATACAACAGGAACATCACTTCGTTCTATTGAAAAACGGGAACAAAAAATGGAATGAATGCATTCCATATTGCAAAAAATTACAAAATAAAAACTCTTGTATAAAAAGGACAACCAAGATGTTCCTGTGATCCGAATCCCTTGACACATGATGACAGATTAAAGCCGTAAAAACACCAGCTTGAATGCACAAGAAATTACATATAAAAACAAAATATATAAGACATGTTTATTAATATTATATAGTCATCAAAAAAATAGAAAAAAATACGCTTATATTCAAAACGTACGATTCTCGAATCGTGATTAAAACTTCTTACTAAATCATATTATTGAAACGTGATGTGTTCTATATAAACAAAAATATAATATGTGCATATATTATTTATTTCCGAACACGTATTTTCCATACATTATATACTATTTTGTATATAATATGAATTATCTAGAAAATTGCGTTTCCTAGCCAAGTTCTCGAAACAGTCTGATAACGTATTCACTTAAATATAATCGAGATATCCACATACATTTATTTGCGATGTGAGTTCTATCTCTACTAATATTATAAATGCGAAAGTAACTCTGTCTGTCTGTTTGTTACGCTTTCACGCCTAAACGACTGAACTGATTTTAATGAAATTTGGTACAGAGATAGAGTTGACCTTGAGAAAGAATATAGGATAGTTTGTATCCCAGACTTTTGAAAGGTTCTGTTGGAAACGCGTTATAACCGAACTCCACGCGGGCGAAGCTGCGGGCGGAAAGCTAATGGAAAATTAAACTATGGTAACCTTAGAATACTTGTATATAATAAAGAGCAGCTGTGTATAATTAAGTTTAAGTCATTGTGACGTCATAACTTGTACAAATAGACTTTGAATGTCGCGTGTATCTGTCAATATATTGACATCGTATAACATTACATAATAGTGAGTATCAATGCCATAAATTTGCGAAAAACTTTATAAATATTTGTTTAGAATTACATTTATATATAAATTCGATATTAAACACTGCTAATGAAAATATTACTGATTATATAGATGCGAAAGTTTGTGTGCATGTTTGTTTGTGTTTAACGCAAAAATTACTAAACGGATTTTGATGAAACTTTACACTAGCGTAGGTTAGACATCAGAATGAGACATAAGCTGTTATTTATCCCGTAATACCATATAATTACATCATGATCGAGCAATAATTATTGTAATGTATGAGGTCACGTGACAGACTATAGAATATATGTAGATGTCGCTGCCGGTACGTTGGTCATTTTTTTAACCTACTATAAATTTCCCTGTGATCTCAATTCCGAAATTAATATAGACGAGGTCGGAGGCAAAACTAGTACATTAAACATAATAACTGTATGTATTAAACAGGAATCTAAAATCGTGTAGATCATTTATCCATAATCTTATCGGAGTGTTCTTTTAAAACACATACATATATATATGTATATGTATGAACGCGGAACAGATACGCGAACATCGCCAGCTATTGATATAACAATGACCTTCACCATGATGTATATACAGGAAAATATATATATTCATATACATATACAACGGTTTCATAATACGAGGTAGCGCTGACGTGGCACGGAGATCTTTATACAATGGTTTTTACCAAATATTACATACATTAAATACGTCTAAATTGAACCTTAAATGAAGAATCCTAAGCTAATACCTATTACACACAGTCGATATATTTCTATTATTACAAACAAGATCATTTCATTTGATATTTCCTGTTGTAATATTAAGTTCTTATCTCTTTTTCCAATGCTGGTTGAGTTAAGGAAACTACCAATGTAACCTCCGCTTAACAATTACTCTACGATTAAATACGTCACGCTTACACGACATTTAAAAAAATGATATTATACATACAAAAATCGACTTAAATCACATAATAATATAATTCATTATTAATTAAAATTAATATACGATGATTGTACATAAAATATTATTATATACTTGGATCATGGATGTATTGAAGGCGTGTTCGCAATACGATTCTATTGATATGTAAACAGCGGTTCGCTCTAGAGTTATGCGAGTTATCTACGTGCCAAGGAAATATTAGTACAATATAATGAAATATACGAAACAAATACAACGTTCATACAACCTTAGATTATCTATACACAAGATAATACTGATACCAGATATACATAAAAATATAATATCAAAACATAATGAGGAAGTGACATTCTTCTTATCAATATTCGTAGATGTACATAAAAATATTTTATTCATTATTCATAATATATAAATATATAATTAATATTTTAAATAATTAAATTCTTTACGTACTTCAACCAAGAGGAGCGCGCGGTTTGCTGATTATACCTAGAAAGCAAATACGTCATATATAGTATAGTTTATGTTAGGAGCAAGGCTGTTGGCAAAAATATATATATATAGATATATATATGACGGGCGTGAGACGAGGATAACAACGCGGAAGACGACTCAAGGTCAAGGACATTAGCGAATTAAAAGCAACCAAAATTAACAGAGAACATTCGGTCACATACAAAGGACGCCGCAGATATTATTACATAAGTTATAAGGAGTTTTGAAACTATTACTAGCTGTTAACACGCATTAAATACAAAAAGTACATTTTACATAACACATCAAGTTGAGAACGTACAAAAGAAATTTGGCAATACATGCGCTTTGTTGAGGCATAAGCTGTAAGTGTTGACTGTGATATAAGTGGGACGGAATGATTTATAAGACCGAGTAGAAACTGTGCCACCTCGGCCCTAGTGGATTCTGTTACACAGCACACGAGTCACAACATTGTAGTAAAATGTATATGGAAACTGTTCGCGAATCGTCGCTGGACCGTTATTCGTTCCGGTGTGACCTCTGGTTAGCCCTAATGGATTGGCGGGACCTTGACTCTTGTCCGATGCGAGTCGAGACCCTACTTCCTCAAACACGAGGGTCGGCACATTTAAATAGCGCAAACGTATATCCGGTGGGCGATGCCTTTAAGACAGGACATATTAAATTGTTCCTGGTACAAATATCAGTCATCATACAATCATTCATAGTCTATTTAATTTTCTGTCATTATATTTTTGCCATAGTATAAGTGTTAACTTGATGTCAGGTATGAATAACCTTTTATATTCATGAATTATTAACATTTTTTTCAGCTCCTCCGATAGTTATCTTTAAATCTGACCTCACTAGATCTCACTAAAAATGTTGATGACATCCTTCGCAACATAAATAGTCTGAAGGCCGTAATGCTAACATTATTACTAAAAATGCAAAACTCCTGTAACAAAGCGTGTATTACCATCACATTTTTCGGTCAAACTTTTGCTATGCAAAACGGCTTTGAAAAATCACGATGACGTCACGAAAGAACGAATCAGGCGAACCTTGACGTTAAAAATATACATACTATACTAATAACCAGACAACTGAGATTAGAACAAATATATATGTATGAAGTTTGAGCATTTTTTGTACGTAAAGACTTCCGTACACCCCATCACACAGTCAGCACAATATAATGAAATTAAAGTCCGTAAATAATACAAAGGAGATCTTATTAAAATATTTTCTAGCCCTGACACGTCGATATCCGTGGGCGTGTGCGCGTGCTCATAACCAACGCTACGTAATTATCAATGTGTGCGTACGTTTTGTATGTGTGTATGTGTGTGTGTGTGTGTGTGTGTGTGTGTGTGTGTGTGTATATGTGGTGTGTGTGTGTGTGTGTAATCGCTGCAATCGTCACAGCGGCAGCAGCATCGAGATCGCGACCCGGTTCGATCGAGAAAGCATCCACGAAACTCGGTTGAGGCCGCGCTGTATAATGTACAGTGTACGGCGAACAGTCGACGGAAAACATTATATTATACTGTTAATGTTCACTAACAGAAAAAATAGAATGTAAATATATTATATACTAATAACGAGCCGCGTGTCTGCTCACGTGCGACCTCACTTATAGGATTTAACCAATGCTGAGCTAATTGACTACGCCGAGTCGCGAACCTCCAAATCTATCGAGGTTTTTTGAACGCTTCCGTTTACTGTAAAATAAACTTTAACTCAAGGTTTATCTTATTATTTATATGTTATAATAAATTATTCGAGGATATCTTCCTAAACATTATTGTGAATATTCACCAATATACAGGGTGACTGGTGAATTACTATCAATATTTAAGGAGAATACTCGGTACATGATTCTCATTCGAATTATGCAAAAAAATAGGCACTTAATTTTTGACAAAATTTCCGTATAAATAAGTAAAGTGTTGACACGTTCCAAGTGTTCCAGTGTGGACGCGTGCGGCGGCGTGCTGATACAACACTACGTCACGACACGCGTATGTGTGAGTGTCAGTGTATACCTAATCTGTAGGGTGTTCACACGATGCGTAATTAATTACATAACTTTTGGTTAACTTTACTTAGAAGTTTATTAATATTTATGTTATATTAATTTTTATTTCGTCATATATGATCGTCAAATATCACGTCCTCAAATATCGATAGTAATTCACCAGTCACCCTGTATAAGATTTACGTGAGAACTCTTTGACAAGTAATATAATATATTTAATAATTCTTAGTTATATGTTAATTAGATTAAAAAGAAAAAGTGAAGAGAAATACAAATTAATGGTGAGGTCAAAAACTAGCAATCACCGAGTGAGTACACGGCTAAATAAAAACGGGGTCAGATTTGACAACGTAATGCATTTGACCCAAATGACAAATGAGTGAAGTTTGAAAAAAAAAATAACGCCGCACAATATTTAGGCACCATGTAATATTCGATTCCGTCATGTAAATTGATTTCTAAATTACAATGAATGGCACAGTTAATATCTGTACGAATGTGAGAAGTTAAAAAACGACTATTAGGCTGAAATTTACGCGTCGTATTATGTTAAAACAAAGTGATTGTATTGATGTACAGCGGCCAGAGGTTTCGGGTCACACTACACTCTACAGTAAGGAGCACAAGGTAAAAGATGGTACATTGAAAGCGGCCTTAAGCCCAATACCGATCTGTGAGACTGTGGCGCTTCCTATTGGCGTGGAGGCAACGGCGGCACTGCCTGCTACATCGCGAAGGTGACTTCGGAAGGTCGCTTACCACTTAAACATTTGTTCCAGGCCCATATTAAATAATAGAATTAATGTGACCATGACTTCATACTTGATACTCATCGTTACCGAACTCTCAAACAGTCCCGTTATTCTGGAGAATGTCAAAAGATAAAACATTCGAGATATAAAAGAACTAGATTAACTCTGAAGCGATACGACCTCAAAAGACTCTGGCGAGGGTCTCGATACTATCACGTACTAAATAACCTGAGAAATAAAACGAAAACATTTGATAATATACATATATAATGATAAAAATGTATTTAATATATATGAACAACGAGCTGTTGAGACTGTAAGCGGTGACCCCAAATCACTAAATAAGACCAAGGGAGTGGAACACAAATGCTCGAGTTTTACGGGTCAACCGTCACAGAGCAGGCGTCCGGGGGGTACCAGGGGGTGTCAGGGGGTGCCGGGGGGTGCCGGGGGGTGAAGGGCGTAGGGCCGATATAGGGAGACCCTGACATAGATCCCGTCGAGTCTCTGAGACCTCGAGATTCGGCTGTTACAATAACGTCAATTCCAAAATCACACGAATTGGGTCAACACTGAGGCAAGGAATGCGTAGAGACGTGGAGACGTCCTGATTCGCTTTCCCCCCCTAGAAAGTTGAGCAATCATTACACAAATAGAAAACTTTGGAATAATCAAACCGAAGTAAGAAGCTACGAGCGATTGTGATTAATATAATATAAAACATTACGAGGGCACTTTCAGTTTAGAGATGTGGGTTCGGGTCAGGTGAACGTGGCGTTGCGACACGACGGCTCGCCTTTAGAGGATCGCACGACGACCGTTAGCAACGGTTATGGACCGCGATTATAATATAACAAATTAATTATCAACCAATAACTTACTAACTATATAGATTCATACATACAAACAACAAAGCATTTTATCAAAAACAACTTTTCCCTACAAGATATATATGAAAACGAGTACATTTAATACATAAACAATGCACTTAATACCACGTATTGTGAAAACTATTATCAAGATCGTAAACAAAACGAAGCCGCTACGCATCCAGACGAGACGACTGACGCACTTTCCATTTACTTGTTGCAAAAAAATATATTCACAAACTCTTCATACATAAGATATATGAAAATAAAAATATTATTGAATAAATGAAGAGAAGGTTCAGTGATATTAAGAATATAACACGCTCGACTTGAAACCAAAAACCTTCGACATTCTAATGATAGGGAGCTTTCAAACCGACGATAAAAAACATACTACAACGAAAAAAAACACCTAAACGATTTAGAGAGAAAGGTATAAATAATGTGCATATAACACACATATAATATATACAGCATTACAATAAAAAGTATCAAAGAATGTGTTCGTACGTAATCATACAGTTCTGCGAGGCCCCGTCACTAAAATGATACTCTTGCGAAATAACCTCGCCCAAGTTATTCCTACACAATCAAATTACAGCTACGACCCGGTTTCTAGTGTTCGGAACGGAGGAAAGTCGGATACATTCAATGTACATTGGATACACGAGCATGTCGAGTAAACAGCAATTAGTTTATTGAGACGAACCTTCTCACTAGCACTCGCGTACAACTCAACTTTATTAGTGATATAGAACTCGAGAGTTCTGGAGGAGAAACTCTAGAGCTTTTAGCGAGCTCTTCAAAAGATGAACTAAAAATTATAAACGAGAATATACTTGTTTTTAATATGAAAAGTCGCGAGAGTATGAAACGTGTAGCATTTAGCTGAACTGATGATTTTCTAAAGCGAGATTCTTTATTAGCGACGCGGACGGTAATATTAGTTTCGTGATGAGAGTTAAACATCATATTTACATATCTGTGAGTCGAATATCTCGTGAGCCCGTCCTGTGTCTTTAATGTAACCTCTGAGACGTGGAGGCCGATGCCCTCTGGAACCGCATCCCGCGAATCCTTATTGTAGACTAGCGTTATTATATACAACACACATACATACACATGCCAGGAACAAGGGGAATCAAGTTAAAGCTGAGTTTATATACATGAACTCAAGTATGTGAGACACGCATCACTAATATTATTCGAGTTGAACCAGCGTCTAAATGTTATCACACGCTCCTTATAAATTCATTTAAACGATTTACAGAACGTCGTAAACATAATAACTTACATACGAGGATGTAATGGACTTGGAGCTTTAAAATTGGATTCGTAACAAAAAGGTTGTGGTACAAAAAAACTTTTAGGAGCTCCTCGCGAGTGTGTTTCCGACCTCATTTTGTTACCTGCTTGTGGAACAACGCCAAACAGGTCCGCGGCACATCATATACATATATTACATATAATAATATATAACAAACATTAAATTAAACAAATTATTACAAAAAACTTTACTGTACGCACTCAAAACTGAATCACGAATTTTTGAATGCGACGTAAATAATGTAGAATTAAGTATAAAAGTTGAAAAGTATCGTTAAATACATAAGCCGGCCGTCGAGTCAGGGGTTCCGTTTTTGGGGTAACAGTAACGAAAGGAGGGTGACGATAGAGCATCGACATCGCATTAACGAAGGGGAATTTGGGGGAGAATCGTGAAACACATTATATACGACATTACATTACATACAAACAAACATTCCGTTTTAAACAGTCACAAAATATATGATTGTAAAAGCAAGCTGATTTCTATATTTCAATGTGTCTCCGACCGACTCCCTCTACCTGCCTTACAGCTTACACAACAAAGAAAGTTAAAATGCGTGCGAGGCTAAGTAACTTTCGCTATTTGCAGCGTTGCTTTTTAATATATCATAATATATTAATGTCATATACATAAATATGTGACATTAAAATATTTATATACTCAAACAGATAGACGTACACGAAGAACTAACTATTACGATCATATTAAATATAAGCGAAATTTTTATTATTCAATTTATATGAAAAAGTCCGTCAATTTATTATAAAAAAAAATACACACGAAACAAACGAGTTCCGCGTTGACAGAACCAACAAAAATAGCTCACCTAGCTAAGGCCATTATGATCGTATACAATCCAACTTCACCGGAATGATGCACACTGTCCCTCACAACCAAAAAAAAATTACCACCAGTGGGATAATTGCTCACGGTCTAGCACTTATGTATAGCACGTTTGACAATTTCACTTCACCGCATGTTTGCTGATGTCGCTACTCGCGATACGTGCTGCTCGCTCGACGTGCGAGGGGCTACTGACGACTGACTACTCAGACTGACTCCGAGCGTGCGGCCAAGGAGGGCGAAGCGCCCGCAGGACAGCTGCCCGATCCCTTTCTACCGGTGAAAGCTTATGTATGAAATGCTTTACGATACACATTCATAACTATCGAAATGATTCTTTTTGAGGCGATAATGATTCGTCAAACTTTCATGTTTAAATATGATGTAAGTGAATAATTATTAATTTAAATAGAACTCGACTAATGGTTATAAATAAAAAATACATTACTATGAAAATTAATACGAAAATATATATTTTTATATAACATTTTCTATGTCTGTTAATTAGGTATGGACTTTAGAAATATTTTAAAAATAATTTAATGAGATCGTTTTCAAATGAATATTTATAAAGTATATTTATAAAAGTTTTTGTTTTCTTTGTTCGTAATAAAGTTCGTTCTTCTAAAATCACGAATTTAATAACTTTTAATCTATTTAAATACATATATTTTTTTATAGATTTGTCAAAAACATTTGAATATCCAATAATTGTTTAAAGATATTCCGAATTTAAAAGATATAAATCTTAACAGCTAAAGATAAATAAAGATAGTTTAAATAAATAAATATTTATCTATAGCTAATTTCAATGATAATTAGGGTTTCAAGGAAGTATTATGAAAATGCAAAATGTTATTCAATAAAACAGTTTATTTATATATAAGTGATACTTCTATTTTGAACTTCAAACTTATCATCAGATATAATATTGTTTACTTACAACTTAATATAATGAGATTAATACGGAAATCTATATGGAAAGTTCCGTGGAAAGTGGAATGCGTTATAGATAATGGACGTGTTTGTCTCTCACGAACATACTGTAAGTTTGATAGTTTTCACCCGAAGTTTATTATACACTAGCTTTCCGCCCGCAGCTTCGCCCGCATGGAGTTCGGTTATATCGCGTTTCCAAGAGAACCTTCCAAAGGTTTGGGATAAAAACTATCCTATGTTCCTTCTCAAGGTCAACTCTATCTCTGTACTAAATTTCATTAAAATCAGTTCAGTGGTTTAGGCGTGAAAGCGTCACAAACGGACAGACAGAGTTACTTTCGTATTATAATATTAGTAGGGATTTTTAAGTGACAGTAACCGCTGTGGATCCGCTCGCACTTTCCACGATTAACTTTCTTGTCGAGTGTTCAGCTTGCGACCTTTCTTTATCGGAACACGCCTCCGCTTATACGAACTCGTTCAATATTAATTTCATATCCGCGGTGACATTACCGTTTGTGACGTAACAAATCGCTTCCTCGTCTAATATAAACGCTACCTTATTCCACGCTCATCAATTCAGTGGAACTAAATCCTATTTTAAATAATATGACCATAATGGTGACACGTATATCCCTTATTAACCTACTTAGAACTTTTCATGTATATACATATATTTTTGTTTCGTATGTTTTCTCAATTGCTGATAACTATTTATGTTATGTTAAGAGCATCGTTATCCTTGAGAAATGTTTTGACTGTTTGCACGTTTGTTCCGGATGAACTTTTGTTTCGAAGAGATATCGATGTCAGTTTTAATGATATAAAATTTGCAAAACTTTTTTTATATTCTTATTTCATTTTATGTATGCATGTCATCAAAGACAAAAAGACAAGCTAATAAAGGTATTTACGATTTCGTATATACACTTATATTAAACAGTATTACTATATGTATATATAATTTCGTTCGGGTAAGTCGTGTGTCTGTCTGTTGGGTGTGAAAGCTTCGATCGTCCTAGTGAAAACCTCACGAGGCGGTCGGGTCGAGCATCGTGCCGCTTTCAAATAAGCTGTCAAAACTACGACATGCATACTCTACTTATAACATAAAAGAACATTCACGTGTTTGTATCAACGTTATATAGAATATTCTTCTTCTACCTGGATATTACCCAGCTTTAGCCAGGGTCTGCCTTACATTTTGGCTAATTGTTTTTACGACCTGCCTGACATCAACCCTCTTTGGGAATCATCATTATATGGAATATAGATTTATTATTGAAAATTAAACTCATTATTAAGCGAGTATGAACATAATAGTAATGCTCTAAATCAGGACTATATTAAATCTCACATCGCGCCATTATCTAACGCGATCGTTCAGTGAAAGTGCCCCGGGTGCTGCGCGCGCGCACTCGGAACATTTTTCAGTCCAGAGAAACTATGAAAGTGCCTAAACGGGGGAGAAGGTAAGATTATATTTGAAAGCGCTACACAATAGCCGTTGTCGAAATTGGAAAGTCGCTGCGCATCGGTTGCGTAACGGCTGCCGCTGCGAGCGGTGACGTCATCGGGGTGATGACGTCAGAGGGGTTGTGACGTCATAGCACGGACGTGAGTGCATCGCCCGCCCTGCACGTGCATGTGGCTTCCTGCACCGAGGACTTTCTATTGGGAAACCGAGTCAGTTCTCGCTAGATGCTGATATTGGGAAACTCACCATGCATCTCAGAATCCGATTGGGCAATGGCTCGGTACGATTTACGCGGCGCTTGCTCAATAAGAGAAGAGACTGTACCGTAATACATTGGATGCTGTGAAGGGTACGAGATGAAATTGGGAGGATAGTAGATACTCACAGTTTTGTAGTTATGTAGAATCCGTCTCTCTGAAGCCTGTAACAATCAAAAGATAGTTTATTAATCCAATTATAATACATTATTTGTTATGGCGAGATCTCGTTATTATAGTCGGTCACGTTTAACTTTCCATTAAACGCAGTCATAATGTCAAAGTTTATTGATTTTGTAACACATCACTTTCCAAAAAGCAACATTATAAATATTTTTCACCGGCGACTGGTTCAGAAATGTTCTCTCCGAAATAATTGTTCATATTCTCATTAGTTTATGTATGTAGGATGTTATGTATAGTTCAAATTTCTTTTAAATGCCTTCAATGTTCTATATACATAGTTATAATGCATAAGGTATCTGATAACTTAATTATAATAGTGTTCTAGCTATTGTACTCGTTTGTAATGAACACAGAACCTTGAGCTGTTCTCGTCTTTAGCGTTACACTATAAGCTATGCTATAGAACAATCTTCAACAATGTATATATATAAAACTTTCTTATACTAAGCGATACATATTCAAATATATGGGACATAATACATCGATTGACCAATTTGTTAAAAAAAATTGAGGTCTCTCAGGACCATCCTCACTGCGGTTCACGGTTGAATGGAATATATATTCGTACAGCGATAGTTAAAAACAATTATATACCTTAAACATTAAACATAGGGTACATTATTCATCGACGAATTAAACGCGGTCCCTAATTGTCTGATTGAGAACGCTAACCATACATACAGAGATAACGTCTCTATAGCCTAACAAATAAGATACATTTTCGTTTACAAAACTGAGACATTCAATAAGTAGGTTGAGACAACTCGCACTGAGGTAGATTACACTTGTTTATCACAAACTGTCATTAAATCGCAAAACTGTGACTTAATAAATGCTGAATCAATAAATAAATTTCAATCCAAACAATAATACACCTAAATATTATGTGAATTCGTTACAGATTCGAATGGTAACATCGAAGTGGAAAGGATTAAATTAAAGGGAGATATTATCGTAACATCAAAACAGCTTTAGAAAGCGAACAGCAATTAGAATCGGGAAAGTTGTTTCATGTCCAACAGATTCAAATTGAAAAGCAATGCTCGATTTAGTTTCCTGGTAAATAAATAGCATCAGAAAAGCGAGAGGCGGAGACTTTCTAGAGGCAGGGCAGCGAGGAGTTACGAGCTGGTGATATAAGACCAGGCTAACCGCTGTTCATGAGGAGTGGGACTTTTGTTATATATATTAACTATCAACAGTCTAATTCACTTCTATTGTATCTGTACCTAAATCCTGCATGAAAATTATTCATATACAAATGTATAGATAGTTGTATTAATGTGTCTTTGTGACTTTTCCAAGCTATCTTTTTGAATACATTTATATAGATTTGGTGATAATATAACACATTAGAATAATATAGGTCATCTTTTATTTCTATATTTGCCTGTTTCTTCAAATTATGTTCGATAGATGGCGTAACTATAATTCGTTTCTCCAAACTCAATGTGGACGTGTCAAGTCGCGTGCAACAGTTAGTATGTATCATTATCATTAAACATCGCTGTACACGTTCGCTGTCCTAGATGCGGCTCACTTTCGTTCTGAAGTCTTACTTCTGAACCATCGCTCGAGATAAAACGCATTCCACGCCTAATATCCTCAATACAAGCATTCGATTAACATAATTAATATATTAATAGGGTTCCAATTATAATTAATAATTATATTCAAACAAAAAGTAGCTGTTGTGAGAGACCTTTGATTTTACCTTTCCATGCCTGTTAAATAACTTTAATACTTTCAAATCACACTTTCGGATCACGGACAGAAACGCTTCGGTACGTGACAAACTAACCGCGGATGCAATTTAAAAAATTAATTATACATTGTGATACTATATAATAATACATCGCGTTTATTAGTTTTACGTTAATAATCTATCTATATATAATATATTTATTAATGTATGTATGTGAAATATATGAGGAAATATCATTGGGTTATTATCCTTAAAACGTTTTGAATGCAAAAAACAAAAATGTGGGCGTTTTGTTTGTGCTTTCATAATAATTTAACAATAGCTTGGATTATAATTTTCAAAAATATATAACAACTTAACAAACAATTTAAGTATGTTATAAAACAACGTAATCATTGAGTTAATATTTGAATACAAGGCGAGCGAAGCCGCACTTAAAACTAGTTAAAAACAAATGTAAGGTTTAGGCGAGGTTGCCACTGTCGAAATTGATAGAGACGGGACCGTGACACGATTTAACAGAGCATTAATTTTGTATTCGCATTAACTTTAATATGATTCACATAAAACAGTCCTACGATATTACGGTTGGGGTGACAGCGGAGCTCTGGTGTGTGTGTGTGTGTGTGTGCTCTGTGTGCCGGCTGTGCTGTGTGTGTGCGCCAGATTTCATAAGCGATCTCTCTGTGCAGTGATCTAGGTTAGGTTGTCGGTAATAGTGGCTGGCGTATCGAGCGTGATGTTAACCTACTTACGGCGCACACTACGACCAGGGACGAATTCGCCCCCCAATACTCAACAGCGCCTCCTAATACTATGCCATTATTATTTACCTTCATAAAGAGATCGACTTCACTTACATCACTATAGATTTCCGCGAGAGTTACGCCATAAGTAGCAAACGTTACAGTGAAAGGTATACTATTGTTCGCGGATCGGCTAGCGGTATTCAGTTCTCGTTTATTAAAATTATATTTCGACCTACACCTCCTTTTTAAATGCTTCATAATTTTTTGTCGACATTCATCCATATACGTTATGATTTATTTAATAAAGTCTGGTCGTATTAAGTGCAGCTTGCACTCGAAACGAGGGTCGACGGCCCTGTACTACACTAATCAATAACTCAATTTGCTCAATATCACTTATTTTGAAAGGGTTAGTTAGTTTCGCTTACAACGTACTATAGTTATACACAACGCACTCACCGACCAAGTGACGAATTATAATGAATTATTAACTGTAAACGCCTACATAAATTTAATAGCAATAAAGTTTTTCAGCAACAGGTTACGTTGCTCGTTATAGCAATTAAGGTCGGCTTTATAAGTATTACTTTGAACAGAATAAACATAAAAAATATATTCAAAAATATACCTAATATTATTGATAATAATTCTTAAATTTAAATGTATGTTTATTAAGTATAAGTCACCGTTAATAGTATTATAAGCAGAACTAACGTCAGCGAGTGATCCATTTAACTGAGCAAAGCATTACGTGTTATGAAATACGATATCAATACATATGTAAGCGATGCTATTGCATTAGAATTTCTGCAAGCGACGTTAATATACGTCATTGAAACAGTTAGTACAGCTAATTATTAAACTGAACATAAAGCATTGGACAGCAATTAAATTATTTTTTTCAGGGTCTCAAGTCTTATGTTCTTGACTTTATTGATCCCAACTATGTCATATATGATATTTGAAAATAGGCGTATTTAAAAAAAGATGACAATATGTTTTTGTTTAGTAGAGGATAGAATTAATATTAAAAATTAATAATTAATAAAATATAAGTAAAATAATTCATTAATATTAAATTTTACAATTCGACGACGATAATTCTACATTTATTTATAAAAACTGTAAAAATAGAATTTATATAGATATTAAAATTGTTGTCAAAATAAATTAATATGTCAGCTATAAAACAAACATGATATCTTCAAAGTCACTTAATTTTTAAAGTCATTCTTCTCGACGAAAGACAAAGAAAAGTTTATAAAGTTTAACAAGATAGTTGAAGTGGATTTATTGTAGACTTGAAACGTGCTACATACAGAATACCTTATCAACAAAACAACAACAAAAACATATAAATATTTAAATTAAACATATATATATGTATATATTTTATATCATTATGTGAACGTCTGTAAACAAAGCCAGTTGAATGAAGACATTATAAAAAATAATATCTGTTAGTAATATGAGAGCTAATTTTAAAGTGAATTGGTACCGCATGCGACAATGCAAGTGCATCGGGGTCATTGACCGGCTCGATGGATACTGACCCCTCCCGGACAAACCCTCATTATATGTATATACATATATACTGCATATCTTTTATATGAAAATTCCGTTAATCCCTATTAATATTATAAATGCGAAAGTAATTCTATCTGTCAGTCTGTTACGCTTTCACGCCTAAACCACTGAACTGATTTTAATGAAATTTGGTACAGAGATACAATTGACATTGAGAAAGAACAAAGGATAGTTTTTATCCCAGACTTTTGAAAGGTTCTCTTGGAAACGCGATATAACTGAACTCCAAGCGGGCGAAGCTGCGAGCGGAAAGCTAGTAATTAATATTTTGGAATCATTTAATATTATTTTTGTTACAATAGAAAATGGCTTGAAAATTGTAATACTTACATGTTTACAGACGGAAAGAAAATGTTATTGAACAATTTTTTTTTATTTCCCGTGTGAGGAAAGTTGGTCTACAAGTTACGTACGACCACGGACAGCTATTAATATTAATTCGAAAAAACGAAACAAACGAAATGTGTAGATTTATAATTTAAATACTTCAAAAACATATTTTTAGTACGTTTTTCTTTTTTGTGTTGTTGGAATGCTATTTGGGTTAGAAAAAACTATTTACCTAATCTAAATCCCATTTAAAATTTGTAATTTCTACTAAACTAAAATTTTATATTAAAAATATCCGTCAATTCTTAACTGTATTTAAGTACAGTTATAATAATTTTATTTTTAAATAATTAGATTTTACTATATTCCTTTTAAATCGAAGAATAATTCTGAAACGGCAAATTATTATTCTTTTATTTGCTAAATTATTATTTGCCTGGACTTACGTCTGTCTCAAAAGATTCATCTTAATAATGTTAGTGTATATAAGTCTATGTAAATATTTGTTTCATTTTTCGTGTATATTGAGTGGAATGCTAATAAGTTTTGTTTTAATTTACGATCATATATTGTTAAAAATAATATGTGACAGATTCCTCAAATATATACATAATAACATGTTCATTACGTTCTCTCTCTTTCTCTGTCCCCCCCTCTCTCTTCTTCTTCCTGGCAATTTCCCAGCTTTAGCCAGGGTCTGCCTTAAATGTTGTAAAGAGTTTTGGCTAATTGTTTTTACGACCGGCCGCCTGCCTGACATCAACCCTCTTTGGGAATGCTAGATCAGTGATGTCTAAATACTCTTAGAAAGTACATATGACTCGGAAAAATCACATTGGCACTTGCCCGGGCCAGGATCGAAAACGCGCCCTCGAGCATGAGAGGCGGGCCTTTTAACCACTAGGCCACCACTTACTTATATATCTATATATATATATGTATATCAATCAAATCATAAACACTTCTGCTATAAAGAACTAGTTCACACTACGATACACTGTGCCATGTGATAATTGATAAGGTATCGGAACTACGTGTCGCCATGTGTAGTGTAATGTATAGAGAAAGAACTCATGATTTATTTGAGAGTTACACTCACTGTCCGTTCAATGAGGAAGTGTATTCATCAAGTTTGAGAACTCATTGAGATTCAAGTGGCCTGATAGTGTATTAAAACTGTCTTCGGTATCTTCAGCTGTATGGGAATCTATATATTATATAATATATACGATGATCAGAGGAAAACAGCTAATAATAAACACAATATATTTCCTCATATTACGTAAATATAAATCAATAGTACATAGAAATAAACGACTGGGAATGCCAAGCCGGCGAGCATTACGACCTTGTAACAAGATTACGCCCTGAAATCCTTGAGTTATCTCCAAGGTTTTCGGGTACCCGGAAACGTCCTTGAGGGTACCTTGCCGCTTTATTGATACTAGCTCGACCTCGGCCTCTCTTGTTGCAAGACCTTGGTTTACACGAAAATCACAATTAAACATTGTACCCATTTAAAACGTCCGATTTGAGTTCAAACCATTTGTATGCAGAATCCGAGAAAACTAAATTGAGTCGTAGAGGAACTAAAAAAAATACGACTAAGTATGGGCACAGAAAAAACACTAAATAATTTTCATTATTACTAAATCTATTTTCAGTACTCTTAAGTCTTCATATATGTACTGATATTTTCTGGCATATCAGTGAACCACAAGATGATTTTTTTATATAAATAATATATATTACTATCTTTTGCCCACATATTAAACCCCTTTGAGATACATTATCTTTAAAAGATTTATACAATTTATTAATGACCTCTTCTTTAAGTCCTGACTTATTGACAATGGCACTACCTCAGGGCAATGACCTTGCGAATTAAAATAATTTTAAAATTCGGTCTTTAATTGAATGAGTAACATCGTAACAAACAATGTGGAAATGAGGACTTCCTCCTTTTAGAAACTGTTTAAAGAGTAGTCTGAGGTACCTTACGACATTACATATTTGCGAGTTAAATTATTGACAAAGTCAATGTAGTCATTACAGAAATAAGGCGGAACAGAGAGAGAAAAAAATATTAAAAATTGTATTAAAAGTACATATAGACTATAGATATTGTAAATATACGTTCATATACTTTTTGAGAATACTCTATACATTTTAAAGAGAAACTAATTTTATTTATTAGTATAGATTGTTACTCACAAAAGCTCCTATATTGTCCTACTGAGATTACAAAGGTGAAAATTTGAGAGGATTGTGGATGTATGTATGTTTGTCAGTCCTTAACGCCGAAATTACTTAACCGATTTTTATTAAACTCTACAGTAATGTAGCTTACACATCAGAATAAGACATGAGCTAAAATTAATATCAAAATTACGTGTGTTTTCTTCGGAATCAAATAATAAAAGGTTTAGTATCTACCACATTACATGCCATAGACTGTAGATGTCGCTGCTGTTTTCTTACTTTAACTTTTAACTAATTTTATATCTTTCTCTCTGAGCTTAATTACAAACTTCACGCGGACGAAGTCGTGGGCAGCAACAAGTATATTATTTATGAGTATGTTCATCATTTTATTATGTGCAAATTATCTTATAACACCTGTATAATTTGTTTTATTTTCACTTAACATCAATGTATTGGTCATATAAACAAGGTCATAAAAGTGATTTAACAAAGATTGATCAAATTCATTCCAATCATTTATTACATTATTGTAATATTTTACATCTATCTATTGCATGTCGCATTACAGTGGGACATGTGTAAAATAAAATACATGGCAGAGCAGCCAAGACTGATAAGTTAAATCTAATGGCTAGCAGCGTCATGTAATATTTATAATGTCACTCATTCATATAAGTGTTTTGATCAGTGTTTGAATAAATATTATTCTCATTTTTTAACAGGCATCTATCATCTGATCTACAATATTTATTTTATATTGATTACTTAAAAACATTTATAAGAGCTTTAAATTATAATTAGATATAAATATTTATTTACTACTGAGTTGCATAAACCTCTCCATTTTTGTATTGTAACATTTTTTTCTACTAATAATATATTTATTATAATACTCCAAATATTATAAGTTAAATTTATATAATAAATCAAAGGAAGATATATATGAAATATATTGAATTTTCAATGACAAATAAGCATATCTCTGGTATTAAAAGCTAGTGTGAGTATTAAGACTGTTTGGTCGAGTTATTAAAGAATTTAACAACACTAATTGAACAATATTATTACATTTATGGTTTTAAAAATGGGTTGTTTCTGCATTCATATGTTTTTTACATATGTATGTTATAACTTATAAGTAAATAACTTAATTATTTATAAATTCATATATAGGAAATTGTTGTTAAATTTAATCTTACGCTCCTTTCATATTACACGATTTCGCTCGTGCGGGAAAAAATCGCCCGGGCAATTTTTCTTGATCGACTATTGAAGAGTACGAGACCTTTCACATTGCACGATTTGAACACGGGCACGTTTTGTAATCGTGTTGCAGCCGTCCAGTGCCTAGTGGCCTACGTGACCAAATGCACGCTTTCACACTAGACGGTCTTTAGTCGTACGGGAATTGTCCCCAGTATTGTTTCTACCGCGTACAGTTTTGGTGGTTTGTTTGCAAATTATGGAAGGTGTTGACTCTGAAGTGTTAATATCCCTAGTTGAAGCAAAACCTGTGTTATGGGACAAAACTTTAGAAATGTATAAGAATAGAAATGCAACAAGGAAAGCCTGGGAAGAAGTATGTTTAGCACTCAATCCGGATTTCGAGAACAATGGCGATGGAGAAAAATATGCATTTTGTAAGTACTATACCTATTAACTTTCTATTAAGCAAAGTAAACTTACTTTTTTGGACGTGTGTATATTGTATTTTTTTAATGTATATCGGTGTTGTATGTATTGTATAATTCACTTGATTTACTATCTACAACAGAGACACTCTTTATTTTTTATTTTATTTATTTTCACATATATGACAAATTATACTTTAGACATTTGCCAGGATACACTTCCGACTTCTGTCAAAAAATATGAGGTAAGCACACTTCTGATATTGTTTGCTTCCAAGCCTCCTCGTGTAGTGCTTCCCCCTGATACATCTTCCAGGCCTGTGATCGTCGTTGTGTCCTCAACAAGATATCCGTCTCTGTCACGTACATAATTGTGCAATACGATGCACGCATTGACGATGAGCACTGCGAAATGTGGCTGAACGTTGATAGGGCGATGGAATATACGCCATTTATTGCTCAGGATGCCAAACGCACATTCCACATATCTTCGTGCTCTGCACAATCTATAATAATTAAAGACCCTTTTTTCAACTGTTAAGCGTTTCCCTCCAAATGGTCTCAGTAGATGTCTGTGTAAGTCAAATGCTTCGTCTCCAACAAAGAAGTATGGTATTTTAGGACTCTCTGTTCCTGGAAGAAGTTTTTCCTCAGGTAACTTCCATGATTTCTACAATTTGGACCTCTTAAATGACGAGTCACACTCTTTACCATAGCTCCCTACATCAACGTAAACAAATCTGTACTTTGTGTCTGCTAGAGCCATAAGGACAATAGAGAAGTAATCTTTGTACTTAAAATACATTGATCCTGAGTCAAACGGACAAGTCAGTCTTATATGCTTGCCGTCCACAGCTCCAACGCAGTGAGGGAAGTTTGCGATACTTTCAAAGTTGGAAGCAATTGACTGCCACATATCACAAGTTGGTGTCGGTATACACTCTTCTCGCATTTCAGACCAAATCGCAGCACATACTTCTTCAACTATGTTTTTTGCTGTTGAAATTCCAACTCTGTAGGTGTAGTGCAAATCCGTAAACGTACAGCCACTCGCCAAATAATAATTATCATACTGAATTGATTGTATTTATTTATTTTTTTTACAGGCAAAGAAGTGGTGAAAAGGTGGACTAATCTCCGAGATTGTTTCGCAAAATCGAAAAAAGATGACAAATCTGCTAAAAAAAGTAGATCTGGGCTTAAAAAACGTAAGAAATATGTGTTTTCAGACCAACTTCAATTTTTGAATAAGATCTACACCAAAAAAGAAACGGTAGACAGCTTCAACCCAGAAATTGTACCAGGAACACTCGAAGAAGATGAAGAGCCTGAAGGCACCACTGGTGAACCTGAAGTTTCTACCAACGCAAACCTGCCATCCAAGCCCGTAGGAACAAGGAAACGAAAGAAACTAGATGAGGTTGAGGTGAAAATGCACAAAGCTCTGGAACATAAAACGCCATGCAGTAAAATGTCCTTCCTTCAGAGTTTAATGCCTCATTTGACAAACTATTCCAACAGTGAATTCCTTCAATTTCAAGTGGGAGTGTTAAACGTAATAGAAAACATAAACAAACTAAAGGAAACTCCTCATCTTCAATCAAACAATCCCTCAATCAAATTCACAATCCGAACTGGATAAAGCATCCGGATCTCAGTATCTACAGGGATTTAGTTACAGCGACTCAACAGCAACTGAAACTGAGCATAGTCCGTCTATATCGGCTTCACGAGATTAAATAAAGTATATTTGTTTATTCAAAAGGTTTTATTATATTACCTACTACTGTAATATTATGCTTACCTTAAACATATTGCCAGCATTTCAACAGGTTGTATACAGTTTCTGAACTGCGTGTTTTGTCGTTGAAGAACACTCTTCAGTTTCCCATGTAACTCATCAAAGGAGCGAACTGACATACGAAAGTAGTTGAAAAACTTTTGGCCATCGTTTCTAAGATCTTCAAATAATGTGTGGAACATCCCGACTTCCTCTCGTCTCTGATTAATTGGGTGAATCCAGTGAAGGCGATTGCGCCTTTGTCTTTTCCGACGCCGATACAGTATCCATAACGCAATAACTTGTTCGCGATCCATAGTTTTCATCCAGACCAGACCAAATGTTTTCCAAATGTTTTCATCATGACCAATTTTTTCCCGCACGAGCGAAATCGTGTAATATGAAAGGTGCGTTAGTGGAGTTCAGAAAAACTAAGAACTTGTTATGAAAACCTCTCGAACTTTTTATTATAAACAATGTTTTTTTTTCTTTAAAACAAAAACAAGATCTTGAATATTATTTCAAATCTTATTAAGTTAAATTATTTGACAACCATGATTTTGTTAAATATGTTTTCTTGTTTTAATGAAAATTTTAACATAGTCCAGTCATAGAAAAAAACTGTATAATAAATTAATTAATTATATTACCAATAAAATTAGTTAAAGCAGGTAAAAATAATAAAAAAAAATGTAATCATACAATATAAAGGCAAAAATATATCTTTACTCCATATAAAAGTGTGTATTTATTCTTATCCAATTTTAACTATTATATCTTACATATATATTATATTTACAAGAAAACATATCTTTGAATATACATATATACATATCATATAAAGACTATTTATTCACTATAGAGTAAAATACATATTTATAACTAAATAATTTACATAAGTAATAATTCAATGTATTATGTAAGATATAAAAATAAAGACGAAGTACATTTGTACTTTAAGTAAATCTATCAACCTTTTTAATTTAGATATTGACTGTTTATTTATTTTCTAAAACTTTATTGTAACTATAAATATATATCTGCCAAATTTTAAGTGACTGATAATAAAACAAAATATTTTATCGCCTCAGTCTTTGGATTGAGATAGTTTTAATAAAAAATGATTCTTCATTTTCATATTCAATTATTCATTTTTACATACAAACTATAATATTGCATTAATCTTAAAAAAGGTTTTTATAACTGTAACATGAGGAAATTCATAGAAATATATGTTAAATTTGACGCTGAATGTACTATGATATAAAAACGTAATGACCGAGTCTACTCCGGTAAGTATACACTTATCTTTGAGTTCCTCATATCCAAATTGGTTTTTACTAGAATTAAATGCCAGACATACATTTATCTGCCAAATATAAAGACAATAGATAAAAGACATACTTTATCTTAATGTTTTGTCTGAAAGATTATAATAGTTTTCAATATTAAAGTTTATCATGTTTCTACCCACAAATATAAAGTTGACAAATAGTTCAAAAATTTTCATGTTCATATAAAAACTAGATGTTTTATATAAAAGATTGTTAATAACTTTGTTATAAGCTAATTCACTTACAAATTATAGTATTTATTCAAAAGGTTAATTTTAATACTAGGAAATTCTCGAGGTATATCAACAATATTCAATAAATTTATATATTTATATGTATATATTTTGTGTGTGATAGAAAAGTAATTATATGTGAAAACTTATATTGTTAAACTATGTCATATTTTGAATTAATGATCATACTTGAAGAAAGATTCACATTCTTATGGAATAGTAATTAAAATCAAGAACACACTTATTGATAATAACTGTTACAGGCATATTTTTAAATTAAAGATGTTACAATGAGATATAAGTCTTTCGAGAGTATTCATTTAAACGGACCTTTTTTTTTGTAAAAAAAGACAATCTCCTGACATCAGTTACATTATAAATTTATGTAGTAAAGTTTGAGTAGTCATTGAAAAAATATTAGTTTGATTTAAAGATGTTGTTTCTGAGTTCATTGATTCACCACCTACAGCTTCAAGCCTAGCTACCGACTGGTCAAAAACACTATTACCGACAGTTTATAGTTTCAGTCAGTAAAGAAATCTAGACTTAATTAAGAATATCCAATTATAAACAGTGTAATAATTCAACCGACTTTAAAAGTTCCTTTTAGTGAATACTGATCAATTCTATAATCTTATTCTGCTTGTACAAATATCATCTGTTCATAAGATACTACTCTTCTTCTGCACTATTTCTAAATATAATTGAATGTAATTGAAAATTTATTTTTCCATAAAATTTTATCTACATATCAGAAAAGTCATTTCAGGTTGATGTATGCTATATTGAGCCAAAAACACCCGATACACAAACTAAACTATATACCAACATATCATTCCATATTTTTAATATAGTATTAATAATAAATATGAAGGTATCATGCATATAAATTATTTAAATCGAAACCATATAATTCTATTCGCAAGTAATTCTCGAATTTTATATGCTCTACCCAATGCATGAATATTCGATTAATTTTTGTTTTGGTTTCTTCAATCAGTAAATCTAATTAAGAATCGTTTGAAGTTAATAAATGTATATTCGACTACCGTAATAGATTTGTTAACTAGTTGAAGGAAAAATTAGTATACGTATAGTAATAATAGTATCAAAAGTAGGTAATTATTACAAATGTTTCTGAACTTGTCACTCAGCTCATCTATTGTAGTTTCTTTCTACTTCAATTAATAAAATGTTGGATTAACTTTAAGAGTTGTTTTAGAATTGTATTACAATGGAGTAGAGTATCATAATTAAAAATACAATGACTTCGACTATCACGATAAATATGTGATATCGTAAGCGAAAGCTCGCTCGCCCAAAGAAGTTTTGACGTAAGTCAAAGTAAAACTTACCTGGTGAATTTTGGTCAACGATTATTTATAACACTGTACACAACTACCAAAATAAAAGAAATCACAAAGAGAAATTATAAATAGTTAAATCACAGGAAGATATAAAAGAAAACAATCCTCATTTACACAATGCACACACACCTAAAACTCAAATTTCAGGAAACATAAAATAAAACCATAGACTAGAACCAAGATCAAAGAATAGAGATTAAAGAGTAAAACTTTGAGTAACAGATAATATATCGGGTACAGATAACGCATAACAAATAAAATATTATATTTAGGCAATGAATTAAAATATGTACGTATAATAGAAACAGGTTTATTTCTATTATTTATTTTAGCAAAAATGTGTAATAGATTGACAAATATGCAATAGGAAATATTCTATTTGAAATAAAGTTAAAAGGACAAAACACATGATAAATAGTTTTTTGAGACAAAAATATTTTATTGAAACAATTAAATGATATAAAAAGTAATCAAATAATTGTAATGTTAAAATGGTTTGGGTTTAGCAGTACTAAATACATTCGTCGTAATCATTGATTATTGTGACTTGCGCAGAAGGTTACATGCTTATATCAATATTTAGAACATATTTCGCTTGGATAGTATAATTTTATTACAGCTTGTTGGAAATATAATAGTTGAAATTTAATTTAAAAATAATAAAATGCCGTCTTGCTCTGTTAAATGGTGTGTGAACCATACGACCACTTGCTCTTTAAAGTCGAAAAAAGGAGTCAGTTTCCACAAGTAATTATTATACCTAATATATTTTTTGGGAGGATTAAATCATCTAAAATATGTTTAAGTGAATTTGTAAGCATAGTGTTTTGCATTAAATTACATGAATTTTCATAAGCTCCTGTGATTTGTTAATAAGTAATTATTACTTTGGAGTAGGGTATGAATTAATGGAAAAGTTATTTGTTTTATAAAAACATGATAATAAATTTTACCTTTTGTTACAGATCATTTTATGTAGAGATGTTACATAGTGAATTATTTAATTAAGTGTACCTTTCTTATACATGATGGCACTGGATTTGTTTACTTTGACGAAAATTTTTGCAGGTTTCCAAGAGATAAAGATCTGTGTCAGAAATGGATTGACGCCGTTCGTCTTGAACGACATGACCCCTGGTGGAATTCTACTAAGGCGTCCAGAATATGCTCCATTCATTTTAAAAAAGCGGATATGATATCCACTCCCTGTAAAGTCAATGTACTTACCAAATCCGCAGTACCAATTTGTACGGTAAGATTTTATACTTAAAAATAGTCATATTATGTCATAATTTTTAATAGAATTACGAACACAATTAATCTATAAGCATATTTGAAAATTGCAGATGGTGTGGTATGACAATGATAATGATGAATCGTCCAATTTATCACTTCCTACAGAAAATATAAACCTCAATGACAATACAACAAAGGCAGACGAACTAAAAGAATCTAATCCAAAAGTGCTTGAACAGGCAAATACTAACGTATCTGATGAAAACGGTCCACGCCAAGAGCCAGTTAAGGTCTTCGATATATTAGCAGAATCCAAAAAGCAACGCTTGAACGACAGTCAAGAGAGAGAGTTAACAAATGAGAGAACATCATCAGAACAAGAAAATAAAGACCAAGAGAAATCCATCGATATGACAGAATTTATAAAATTTAATACAAAAGATACGTGTGTAAAACTAAATGATACTACTAGTATTATATTGAAAGATGTCAATGAGACATCAATCAATACATGTCAGGTGCCAAATTCGAATACAAGTGAAACAAAAGACGAAGTTGAAAAATTTAAATTACTAGAAAATAACGAATCTAAGGATGATAGTAGCGATGAACCAAAAACAGATTTGTATTCAGGCGAGATACAACAGATTGATTTAAAATCCACTTTCATTGGAAAAATATTAAAAACTTATTTACCGAAAAGGAAGTTTAAGAAATCGCGTCAAAAAAATATTCCACAAATATGTAAAGACAATGACGAAAAGAAATCGATGGATATGAAAATTGACAATAATGATTTAATAAATCCTGTGTTTAATGAAACAGAAATTGAAATACGAGATATTTCAACTTATAATACTGAAACGCCTGTTGAAATAATAGATAAAAATAACATAATCTTCTCTGAAGATTGTTTAGTTAATAATGTGAATGTAGACGATGGAAAGAAATCACGGAGAATAAACTTCGATGACATACATATAGACATTGTTGGAAAACAACAAAAAATCATAGACAAGGAATCCATTAACGACCTTCGTAATGTATCGATGGAAAATATGTGTGTTCAAACAAGCAGAGAAATTTCCATAGAAACAAACTTGAGCAATAATAATGATATGAAAGATTCAAATACACATTTAATTTTGGATTTAGACACTCAGCTTTATACAGAAACCAATACGGTTGATAATATTATAGACATAAAAGAATGCTGCGAATTAACTAATGAACAGAATAATCAATTAAATGGTGTTACTGAAACAGCACTAATAACAGAATTAATAGATGCTAATGAGAGTACACCACTGAGGAGTGACGTAAATACTTTGTCACATGTAAACGAAATATCATTGATAAATATATCTGATCCTATACAACAGAAGAATGATTTAATTTTAGAATCAGAATATGAAATACATACTGATTTTGATAATAATGCACCAGAATCCCAGCAAAATAATGATATTTTGAATGACACTAAATTTCCTACGAAAAATGACCTTTTTAACACACGAACATCGGAAAATATCAATATTGGTTTGGAGAATTTACAATTTGCAGTGAAACTCAATTCTACATTGAACGAATTTGATCTTAAAAAGGGAGACCAATATGGTGAATCATCTTTAAACAATAGTAAATTAGAAGCCATCAGGCAATTAGGTGCATCAACAATTGATAAAGAAAGAATGAATTTGTTAACAAAGGATGTTAGAGTAAACGTTAATGATTACGAGGAAGGAGATTTAGAACAGCAAATAATTCTACAACAAGATGTCCTAACATCAAAAGAAAATGAGAGAAACAATGTTATTGTAAATAATTTAATATGGGAAAAAAGCCAAGAAGAAAGGGTTCTATCAGCCTCAATGAAATTCAATAATTACAGCCATTGTGAAAATAATTATGCAATACAGAGTAACGACCGGTCTGATAGACAACTTTCAGAGTTATGCAACGTTGATAACAATAAAACTCATAATGAAACTTACTTCCCGGAGTTACTGAAACATTTAACAGCTAAACCTAAAATGAATTCACTCGTAGACTTATGTACGAATTCGTTAACAGAAGTTGATAAAAAAATATTTTCAAAATATGGTAATATGGCACTTGTTAATAAAAAAAGATTGCAAGACATATATGGATATAACGGCGAAGAATTATATAGAAATATTGACTCAGATAACGATGCATCCACTTTATCAGAGAATAATATGAAGGAAAGTGAAGGAGAAAAATTTAATTCTGTTACTGATTCGAATTTGGATGACAGTATGGAATTAATAAATGATTTGGATCCAAGCATTGCGGAACAAATATTAAATGATGAAACTATAACAAGTAGCAACAACTTAATAGAAGCTGTTGATACACAATTAAAAGATGAAAACATCATTACTAGCGCGTTAGGAGAACTAATTCAAAATGAAATATTAACGATCCCAGAAGATACAATCGTTAAAATTAATGAAAATATTACTGAAGGACTAACAAATAAAGATTTAGGAAAGCTGTGTGGTAAATTTGGGTTAGATTTTGAAAATGTTAGTATAAATGTAGCTCTATTTGTTTATTGATAGCAACAAAACACTTATTAATACTAATTTATTTTAAGGCGTCACCAATAACTGGAATAACCGAAGAAAACATCGCAGACGAAGATATACAAGTTATAGAAAGTAACTTGGTATGTAAATTACATATATTTTTTTTACCTCAATTAAAATATATATATATAATATTCATTTTGTTTCAGGACATTGATAAAGAAAACACTTCAGAATTTGATTTCAGTTTACTGTTAGAAGATTCATTACCAGATACTGAATCTGACAATCCTGATGATAACTTTGATTGTAATGAAAAAAATTCTCCCGCGGACTTGGTAAGTTAATATTTATATATAATTTTGGTCAAATATGAAGAATATTAATTTTGATAATTTTTATTTATAGATGGATTTAGCCACAGTAGATATACCTGAATCGATAGATGGCATTTTAGATGAAGAGGGCTCATTGTTCTCAAATTTGGATTTATTGGAAAATAGTAGTCTTGATTCAAATGAAGAACTGAAGACAGGACGTAATGAACTTAATGGGACAAAAAATTATGAAGAACCATTGTCGCTGCCAAATTGTGAGGAATTAAAAGAATGTTCATCAATAGAAAATATTAGCTTAATGGAAAAAGAACCACATATTGATTCTAAAGCAAAACGACTTGTCGAGCGGTTAATCAATGCCAGTACCAAATTGAATTTAAATACAGTAGAACAATCTACACAGCAATTTGCGGGAAAGTGCTGTGTTTCATTAAAAGAGTTATATAACGAAACACTTGAACAATACAGGATTAACTTAAAAAGTATCAAAAAACACATTTTAGATGAGTGTTACGACAAAAAGATAAAAGAGAATGTTAGCAGCTCAACTGGTCAACAGTTTAAGTCTTTTCCGTTAAATGAAACTGTTCCTAGCGATGATCCTCCAGATTTACGAGGTATAGAATTTGAAAATGATATCAATTTACTTCAAAAAATAAATGATTCCAGTATTCGTGGAGCTCGCGAGCTTCAAGGTCAGAAAAATGAAGAGATAATTGATGAGTTGGTTGACCTCGGTGATATTCTTTTTAAAAATAACATTACACCTTTTAGTATGGAATTAGAAGATCAAAGTAGCCAATTAAAAAGTCTTCAAATTCATAAAAATGATCCTATTGAAATAAACTTAATAAATAACCAGAAAAATCTATGCGAATTAGAACAAGAGAAAGAACTATTTAATGATGAAGATGTTAATATGTCAAATATTGATGAAATCCTTGACGAAATCTGTAGTGAACAATGCTTAGAAGCAGAAAAAGAATTATTAGATCAAATCGAGGAGCATAAAAGCAATAATAATAATAAAATTACAAATATTGAACCAAACTTAAGGGAAAACAGTAACCGCATCTTGAAAGATCTTTATAATAAAAGTGTTGATATGTCGGGAAGTTTAATAAAAGATAAACATAATGCTTCTGTGGGATGTGATTCTACTAAAATAAGCTCTGAAACAGGGAGACGGCTCAGTGTGGAAAAACTTAAAAGAGAAATATTTAATCAATGTTTCAGTTCTGAATGTGGGAATACTTGTAAGAATGGGCATCACAATACAACAAAAAACAAAATCTCACAATTTAATACGCACAATATTGAAATTGCTAATAACTTTGACATTAAAAAGCAATTCAGAAACAAGCAAAAACATAGTTCATTATATAGAAAACAACCTAATACGAATAAACAAAAAAATAAGCCAACCAACTTATCACCCAGTAAAGAGAAAATAAAATTAAAATATAAGGAGTTCAGCATTGATTTACTTAAAGGTCAATGTTTTGAATTTAGTCAAAAAGGAATTGAAGATGAGTCTGATTTAAACCAGAAGAAAATAAAGAGGAAGTGTAATGACCCAAGTTTGGAGTCAAGGAAGATTCAATGCACGGAATCCTTGATCGAAGAAAATGAATGTGGTCAGTCAATAGAGCTAACTCTCAAGAAAAACGATTCTCCTGACACCAACATGCAAGACAGCGACTGTAGTACATTAAAGGAACTTGAGGTAAGTTTTATGTTAAAATACGAATATACTGACCCATTTTCTGTCAAACCCATGTTTCAAAATACTAATGGTCAGGGAAATAATGGCTTTTATTTTATTTATCTTGTTTGTATAAAAAGTTACTGTACTTGGGTACTTGGTTGTGTATTGTTGTTTTTAAAAATTCTGAGTTGGCTGTCTAAAAAATTTCCTTTTCCAGGCGGAATGTCCAAATTGTGGATTTGTTACTAATGACGACGACGTCGACCTAAGTATCAAAGAACCACTAACAGTGATAAATAAAGGTATGTTATTGAGTAACATGGAAAAGAGAAGTAATGAAAATGACGGCAACAAAAATGTACCTCTACGATCAGTATACGCGATGGAACTCGCATACATCACCGCAATACAAGCGTTACAAAGAAAATTGAAAAAAAAGATGGCTGTGTGTGATTATAGACTAAGGAAGATGAATAATCTGGCTCAAATTAATAATAGATTAATTAAAGACAATATATCATTAAAATGTAAAACAAAACTTATTCAGAATAAAATATAAGATAAATGTTGTTTGTTTTTGTATAATAGTTGTTAAGTAATCCTTTTAATTATTATTATTTCAAACTTTAATAACTATAAGTATCGTTACAATAAGTGTCTGCCACGACATGTATGGAACCGTCCGTTTATTTTTTTTATTTCAATACGATATTTAAAATTATTGAACTCATATTCTCCCTTTTCATTATATTTTAATTCGAAAATGCTTTATGGAACCGATTCTTTACTCTGCTTTATGCTTACACCTACTAAGAATTGAAGAATAGGAATGAATAAAGCTAAATTAGAAGTATATTACTTTTACTCAACCAAAAACATCGCTATAATTCTTCCAATAAAACTTATTCTAACAGTTAAATTTGTATTAACCTGAAACCAATATTTTTAGAGTTAGGGCTCAAACCTACAAAATAGGGCTGCCAACCTCATATTAAAAAAACAAGATTTGAAGTTCCAAAAACCTTGAGACTACAGTTTAAAATCAGGACGCATTAAAAGAGTTGCAATAGGAAAAAAATAATCTAGTGCAAACAGGTGAAATGAAATTCAAGTGATTAAAATAATCACATTTTTTTTTTTGGTGATTAAAATAAGTACATTTTTTAACGAGGGAAACCTTTTTCATAAAGCTTAATTGAAAGTGCATTTTCGGTACTTGCGAGTTGTGAGGTCGCCCGTAGTGCAAACAATTAAGAAGAGGCGCGCGATTTTTAAACTTTTAAAAACCCAGGACGCTGTTTAAAAATTATTCAGTATGTCCCAGGACTTTACAAAAACAAGAACTTATCCTCGGATAACAGGACAGTTGGCAATCCTACTGTAATAAAACTGTTGTAGTTAGGTACAAGTCCGACAAATTTTCACCATAATAATTATTAATAATGATCCGAACATCACTAAAATGTTGTATTTTGAATGAAATGTATGCAACTATAACACAAGATAATATTATAAATATGAGCAGTTTCCATATTTAATGTATTTAATGTAATAAAACATGTCAACTATGTGAAAATAATTTAAATGAGTTGTCACATGTTCTCAACGACATCTGCTTCACAATTTAATCTGCTCTTTAATAACATATTTTTATTATTATAACTAATAATAGTATATTGTGTACGTGACGGCCTGTAGATATACTTAGAATCAACTTAATCAGATTTCAAATTATTAGAATAAATACTAACAGACACAAACTGTACCTTGACAACGAACCTGATATGTTAAAGTGTGTAGGCGTAATCCCAAACAAATTGCAAGTTAAAAAAAAATAATTATGAGCAATTTGGAAATAAAAATATATTTATACATTTTTAAACGTGTGAAGGAAAAGGAGTTACACTAAATATTTTCTGATAGTTATTTAAGATCAATATAGAAAATGACGAAAAGAAACGGTAATTAATACTAGCTTTAATACAACTTTTTCGGATACTACTAAAAAAACAGTAAATGTACCGTCGTTACAGAATCGCATTATAAGAGGGAACTTTTCTTCCAAGATAGTTGGTATTAAAATGTTAATATTGTAAAGTTTTATAAAACGTACCTAATAGATATTATATTACATCACAATAGTTCAAAAAGCTGAAATGATTTACTACTTGCAGCCAACAATTAGTTCGATGTTGTTCATTGGCTATGTTTGAGAAATATATTTCAATTTATTAAATGAAACATCTACATTTTCCATAAATACTAATTATGGAAGGTGCATATATGTAACAACCATGAACTTACGTAATTCTATTAAAATAGCTCTAAACATAAGTACATTAGATAATTCTTTGCTGTAGAATCTTCTTTAATTCTTTGAATGAAGCCATATAATTAGTAGGAATTGACTAAGGCACATTCAGCCTAGTGATGAACCTGACACTGCCTATGTGCATATTATGATAATACACTTAATAAAATTTAAGTATTTTTGTAGTTTGAAATTGTATGAGATACAATAACTTGAAAATTTAGTATATAGGTAATTTAGGAAATAAAAATATCTGACTTGTATAACATGTTTAGTAAATGTCAGCCATTTTGTATCTCTTTTACCATTTTTAAATTATGATAATCCTATTATATTATTACGTAATTTTTTTTATAGAATATCAACCCAGTTTTTTGTCAAAGCTTATAAAATTTTTATAGTATGATAAATTCTAAATACAAGAAAAAAATACAGTGTTATGTACAAATTTATTGAAGAACTTAGCGTCTTAAATAGGCATTCTAAATATGATGATGACATCAGTGGAAACAGATTCCAACATTGAAAAATATATCATTACAAAAGTACATTATTTTAATTTGTTAAAGTTATTAATGCGGCCACCAGGTCCCCACTGTGTTCCCTTAAAGTTCTCTCCGCTAATGTACGAGATATTTCTAGCTCTTTTACCTGAAAAATAAATAAATATACTTTACAATAAAAATACATACATATATGAAATGTTAATTATATTATGATACCTAATTAAGAGATCATAGTTTGAAGCAAAAAAATGACATATTTAATAAATTTTTTGTCATCTGGATAACACTGATATACTATATCTGTTCTAATTGAAATATAGTCTATATTTAAGTGTATAAATTGAGTTCTCATATTGATGAGACAAATGATAATTCAACAATATATTATTGTACAAAACAGATATAATAATTAACATTTAGTACAGGTGCTTGATTAAATCAAGTTGAAATTCATCACTCAAATAAACTGCAAGTCATACTAGGACACTTGTTATTAATTTCATACAAGTCTTGTGGCAGATTAAACAAAGATGGGGCACACAGTAAGTAATTATGAAGGGTGTCTTTCTAATTTCAAGTTTATAGAGTTATATAGTTTTATATTAACATCAGTAATGTATATCCCGTATACTGAATGTTAAGGACTGCATGTTTTTCAGAGCAAATTATGTTCACTATAAATCAGTTTCAAATATGTGAGGCCTTATAGAAACTTGAAATGATCCACACATTTTAAAAGTATATTATAATATATACACTTACAATTAATTCAATGTCATCTTTTTTAACTGAAACTTTTTGTAGCTCTTTTTCTTTTTCCAGTCTTTCAGCAGCTTCTTTGTTTCTTCTGTCTCCAATTAACGACAAGGCCTGAAAGCACATAATGTTAAATTTGAATAATGTATATATATCATACATCTTTAATAAAGAACAATTAAAGTATCGTAATAAGAAAATCATACACCGGATATATCTTGTGAGGATATCTCTTTCTCCTCGGCGTAGTCTGTAACTTTTTCTAAATCAGCAACACCGCTGTCGTGTTTTGCTGCTTTCTTCTGAGTTTTATCCTTTTCGTGTTGTATCTCATCAGTATCCCCGTTAACCTCTTCGTCTGCCATGGTTGTTTATATACACTTCTCTAAGCTGAGGGACTATTTAAACAGTTAAAACATAAATAAAAATGAAGGAAAATCATAAAACGCGTGTAGAACTTCAATATATATATGGAATTTATCGTGTGCCGAACTTACACGCTTATTGCTTTTAGTAGGTATAACGCTTCATACCTTGTTACATGCCAACTGTCAAAACACCATGACGTTTGACAGTTGGCATTTTCTAACCCAGAAATATTTGTCTGGTGAAGAATTTTAGTTTTAAATATTAAATAAAAAGGTTTTTTATTTTTCAATTTTTTGTTAACTTCTGTCTTAATACAGGTACATTAATCTCTTTTTTCTAATAGAAAACAATTAAGAATTATTTCTTATTAACATAACATTTATGTGCTAGTATTGAAATTTTTTGTTCTACTCACATGTGCGAGTAGCGAAAAACTCAACAGACGTATTTTGACTAGGATGAAGAACTTAAGATTTAGGGGTTAAAGAATAAAGATTTAGATTTTAGGATCTCGGCTTACCGGGCTTTTAGACTTTATTAGCTATTATGTCTCATCATGACAACATTATACAAAATAATCATAGGAAATATTTTCGTATTTTCCTCATGAAAATGTTGTACACACATAAATATTATTCATTCATTTAATTTGAAGGATTCGTGTTTAATGTTTCGTTTTATTTTTTTAAATTGTTTTTTGAGTACTGATATTGGTTTCTTATCAAATTTTTAGCGTTCTAGGATTTCAACGACGAGTTAAGACTAATTGAATCTAGATTTTTTGAGGTTCATATTAAATACCATATAACTACTATTTCGTTGGGTTGATATAAATAAAAAAATAGAATAAAAGTAACGAACTAAAAACAAAATGTGTTAGTTGCATATGAGTTTATGCCTCGCTGGGTTTGTTTTGTCAGGGTTCTGGCAAATCCCCAAACATTTAAGTTTGTATTACAAACTGGCCATGGAAAATATTTTTTTTTAAATCTAAATCCTTAAACTCTTTTCGTCTTGTATTCCGTGGCAATCGTTAATTAAGCTTAAAAAAACGTCAAAAATAAAACAATACTTATAAAATAAATAAAAATAAATGCGAATTTTTTTTTTGTTCTAATATATATTTGCGGATGTAGGATTAATATATTTGAAAAAAAAATTGTATTACCATATTTTTTCGTACGTTCTTTAACGACCATGCTTTAATTTTACAGACAACAATGACGTACAGTAGGTACATAGAATTGAAAGGAATAAAACGCTCATATAATTAATTTATTTATTTACAAAAAAAATATATTATTATCTAAATAATACTGTTTTACGCTTGACTTATTCGATTATATAAAAAAATTCCTTAACACTAAGCAGACCTTATAAAAAAATCTTAGTAAATTACAGTATTCATCACAATTATAATACTATATATGGCAAATAGAGTTATTTGGTATGTTCTGGTCTTTTCTTTCTTCTGTATATAATGGCGGTGGCAGGGTATTATCGTGTTTCTGTAAAGAATATATAATATATCTATAAATCTATATACAGTAGGACCCCGATTATCCGGACCTCGGTTATCCGAATTCGCGATTATCCGGACTGCCAATCGCGACGAATTTATTCTAACACTAGCTGACCCGGCAGACTTCGTACTGCCTCAATCAAGAAATAAATTATGTATTTCTTAATTATTTTTTTGGAGTTTACCTTTAAGCCATAAATCTCCGTGTACTGAAGTGCGACAGAATGATTGACATATTAGTTAGTTGTCAAATCTAATGTCAAAAAAATAGAAATGCGCTGTTTTTAGGGTTTTCCCGGAATTTTTTTTTCAGCTTTTATACCTTCCCTGAACCTCCACGAACATTTCAAGACTAAGATAAAATGAATCCGTTCAGCCGTTCTCGAGTTTTAGCGAGACTAAGGAACAGTAATCCATTTTTATATATATATATGTATATATATAGATAGATAGATTAACATGTCAGAACTTGCATAACGCCACGCCACTTATAACACCTATACGTACATTATGTACAATTTCTTAATAAACGTTGATTTTCACTCATATGTATTTGTTGCTTTAAAGAAACACCTAACATTACATATGTATGGTACAGACTACATATGTACATATGCAAAAAGCCCGTTTTTCTTCATATATTGGATTATCCGGACTTTCAATTATCCGGATGCCTACCGACAACAATTAGTCCGGATAATCGAGGTCCTACTGTATATATATATATATATATATAAAAGTCGTGTTAGTTACACTATTTATAACTCAAGAACGGCTGTGGTTGGAAATTAGTTTAGGGATAGCTTAGAAACAGAAAACGGAAATAGGATATTTAATTCTGTGCTATAGAAAAATAAAAAAAACTTAATAAGTTTCAATATCTGGCTGTTTACGGCTTCTAGGGCGGAATGGAGTTCGCCCGGTCAGCTATACATATTTTAATAATGACGAAATTAACGCGGACACAGTCGCGAGCAAAAACTAGTATATTAATAATTCCGAAAATAACCCGAATGAAGTCGTGGCCAAAAAATATGCATAAGGCATTGAATGGTTATGATCTTTAAATATATGTACCTATATAGTAATTTACATTTAAAATAATTTAACAAATTATTATTTCAAAACAATTTTTTCAAGGATTTAATAAACTCATTCCACTTTCTCTTTCTTTTAAGGTGCAATCTAAAATATTTTTTTAATTTTTATAAATTGACCACAGACTAAAAAATGTTTTACTATTTGATTGCTTTCAAATTACTGGTTTAAATGGATGCATCGACATATACTAATGGATATGCCGTACGCGTATAATCTGCAGTAATTTTTTGGTTTGAAAAGAGTGAGAGAGATGGCCTATGCTTTCGGTGTAGCACTAATTCTTTCCTCATAGGTACGGTACTATTTCGAGAGAGATAAAGATAGACCGAAACTTCGTTTCTTCTCTTTCTTTCGGAGTGCCATAATTCTCATCTCTAAGGCATGTCCATTAGTATAATTCGATGAATGGTTGTGTATTATATACCGAGGAAAATGTTATAAAAATAAACTTACAAATCCAGCGTTGAGATAAATAGCTGCGGGGTATATTGAGGAGCCCGCAGGCGCAGTGCTTGAGTACCTGGGAATAAAAATTAAAATTATTTATATATACAGATTAAAAATTAATATAAGTATTGAAGGCTAGTTACTTTTCTGTATACTTTCACTGGTATTTTAAAATGTTCATTAATTTGACTTAATCGGTGTACCTACTAGAATGTAACGAAAAAAAAACTCTGAACTTGTAAAGTAATAATAAATAGTATAAAATTCGTATTCATATATCACATGAAACTAATATTTTTCGGATTTTGTTACGCGTGTTTTATCCTTGTTAAAACTATGTACATACTGCCGACGTTTCAGTTATTTTTCAGCAACCGTGATCACGGACAAACGAGATGTGAATTCACATGCGTAGTAATCCGAAAACGTTAAATTCATTTCGAAATTTATATAGATTTTGTAAAGTAATAATGTCTCGTTAAATTCGAAATTTAATAAAACATCACGAGGAACTTGAAAAAGAACTCTAAGAGGAAAATATCAAGAGAATACTATGCAGGGAAAAGAATTGTTTTTATTAATCCTACTAATATTATAATTGCGAAAGTTTGTGAGTGTGTGTATGTTTGTTACTTCTTCACGCTCAAACGGCTGAAGCGATTTTGATAAAATTTTGTATACAGGAAGCTGACGTCCAGGATTAAAACATAGGCTACTTTACATCCCGGAAATCGAAGTAACACCGCGGGACGCAGCTGTATGTATATTACTTACTTCGGTGGCGCGTCCTTCAATCTAGAGTCCACGTAGATCTGAAAACTATCAATTGACAACCTGCTCTCTACGGAAGGAGTTCGCGAGTTTCTGAAACAAATAATACATTATTAAAGAACAACATAATCTTTATAACCTTAACTATAATAAAGGTCAATAAAAACAAATAAAAAATTATCTCCTAAGTACTCTTGTAATGTTTTTTTATTATCTCAAACATGTATTACCTTAAAGTGTGTACTTTACACAGCTTGTACATCAATGAGAATGTAGCTATGATGCCGAGGACGAGGGCTACGGCCATCACGATTTGAGAGCTCGATATTAATATTATTTGATCTGTGGAATCTCTGTAAAGAAATATACATAATATAATATATAAAGAGTATTTTGGAAGTTTACATACACACACACACATCCCTACTAATATTATAAATGCGAAAATAACTCTGTCTGTCTGTCTGTTACGCTTTCACGCCTAAACCACTGAACCGATTTTAATGAAATTTGGTACAGACATAGAGTTGACCTTGAGAAAGAACATAGGATAGTTTTTATCCCAGACTTTTGAAAGGTTCTCTTGGAAACGCGATATAACCGAACTCCACGCGGGCAAAGCTGCGGGCAGAAAAATATGATATACATATATATACAGGGTGACTGGTGAATTACTATCAATATTTAAGGAGCATACTCGGTACATGATTCTCATTTGAATTATGTAAAAAAAATATAAATTTCCGTATAAATAAATAAAGTGTGGACACGTTCCAAGCGTTCCAAGTGTGGACGCGTGCGGCGGCGTGCTGATACAAAACCACGCCCCCGCCGCGCGTGTTTGTGTGTGTGCGTATACCTAATCTTTAGGGTGTTCACACGATGCGTAATTAATTACACAACTTTTGGTTAACTTTACTTAGAAGTTTATTAATATTTTTGTTATATTAATTTTTATTTTGTCATATTTGATCGTCAAATATCACGTCCTCAAGTATCGATAGTAATTCACCAGTCACCCTGTATATATATATATATATATATATATATATATATATAATACTGATTACATTTTTGTTTGTAAAATATGACTATATGTATATATTTACAAAGTCAATACGACCATAATATTAATGTTGAATTTAATCACTTCAAATAATTATTATTAGTGACTATAGATTATCTGTTGTTTAATCAAATAATTAACATGTATAATTATAATAAGGCATGTTTTCGATAAGCTTTTAATGTATCAAAAATATTTTATTTTAAACTTTAGATTGCTGGAAAAATTGTGAAGACTGTCAAAGTAATGTTAAAATTGTATTAATAAACACAGATTAAATTACGTTATTGAGGAAAAGCAAATTTCTCTTGATAAAAAATTATTTGATTATATTGTAACGTTATTTTTTGTACAAAATATCTGCAAGATTATCCAAATTAAGGATGTATCACAGTAAAAACAATTTAAAGTCTAGCGTCGGTTTTATTACCTTACTATCTTAATTATCTTTTTTTATTGGCCCCAAAAAACCCGAGGGGTTTCAGACGCTCTCATAATTGTATGTTTATTTGCAAATGGATTTAATACATTTTTTCAAGTCATCCTAATAAATTTTGTTACCTAATACATTATGAATACTGAAACTCTTATAAAAGTTGATTTAAATATTTTTTAGGCTAGAATTTGTTTAATTAAAAATTAAAAATTTCTTTATTTTTTCTTAATAGACATGTATGTTTAATTTTTTAAAATAAATAATTCTTGTTTTATTTCAAAGGCAGCAATCGAGGAGACGGCCTATCTAATGGAAGGTAGTTACCGTAGCCCATAGATATCTGTAACATAACTTAGGTTGCAGATGCGTAGCTTTGATTGTGCGACAGGGACAGGAACAAAGAAAATACAACCGTCTCTCTCACTCATCGGCGTGAAGCTGCCATTAAAGACTACTTCACGCCGATCTTTGAGAGGGTGGTACTTCCCCGGTCGAGTCAGCCCATGTTCTAGGATTATATCAAAATTTTTACCTGCAAATCCAATTCCCGAGAGACTCGTAACATGATCGACAGATGCCTTGCCAACATTGAAGAGTTTCATTATTGTGGGGACTGCAACACGAGCCCGAACATGATTCACCCAAACCTACAAGTATTCATCAGTTTAAACTAGAAAAACCTCTAAAAAAGCCTAAAATAATACCTATTTTTTATTTAGTTAGATCACAAATGATTAAGTAATAAGTTTATATATATTCGTTTAATATATTAAGTGTCGTATGTTTATTTACCTGGACATTTGATGCATTTATTCCGATTTAAATCAGGTATGTAGCCATCAGAGCAATAACAGTACCCGTCAATACATTCGTATTCTTTGCCGACACATCGTGAACAACGATCTGTAGAAAACAACAAATAATTATATAATATAGATTAATCCCTACTAATATTATAAATGCGAAAGTAACTCTGTCTGTCTGTCTGTTACGCTTTCACGACTAAACCACTGAACTGATTTTAATGAAATTTGGTACAGAGATAGAGTTGACCTTGATGAAGAACATAGGATAGTTTTTATCCCAGACTTTTGAAAAGTTCTCTTGGAAACCCGATATAACCGAACTCCACGCGGGCAAAGCTGCGGGCGGAAAGCTAGTTTTCGTATAAAACAACAGATGGTTTAGACTGCATAGCTTTGTAGAGAAAAGAAGCCACTTTAATGCCGGTTGAATGATGTTTTGGGGTTAGGAATATTGAAATAAAATATTTGCTTTTTGCAATGTTCTGCAAGATTGCTTGGAGTTTTTCTCATTAATTTTTTTGCTCTCTTTACAGGTTGTGGTTTTGAAATTGTCTTAGCTTAAACAAAGTAGTGTTTTTGTGGTGGGGTAAAAGATTCGCGATCATAATAAAATCTTGTTGCTCTTTTTGTCACTGAATTAATGTATGTGAGCGATGAGTTTAACTAATATAAGGAAATTGACGACTAATTAATTAAATGAGGCTTCTTAGAAGAATGAAAACTCAACTTATTTACCAGACGAATAAAAATTTTTCATTATACTAGTTTTATTGGAAAAAAATACCTCTTTGGGTTGTATTTCAAAACTCGTAACTGGTCAAAACACATACGAACCATGATATTAAATCTTAAAGTCTCTCTATATCAAAACTATGCAAAAAAAACAATACTCCATTATTAATTATCACAGTCCCAAGTGATAAATTACAAGTAGTTTGCACAAACGTACCCACGACCACACACGTAGCGCACTGAACGCCGATCAAAATAAAGAGAACTATCCAATGTGTCATTTTGCCACAACTACATCGTATAGAGACAATGTCCCACCAGGAAAACAAATAAATACTGTTAGCTGCTATAATCGTCACCGTAAAAAGGCATAACGATAAGGTATCAAAGATCTGGCAAAGTAATACGTAGCTTATCAGCGCACGTCACTCACACTTTCATGACCGAGCGCCAACCTTGATGTGAAATATTTAAACTAATACGCGCCACGAATTAAAATAACACCCACTTACATCACAATGCAAGGATACCGAGGAGTTTTGCATCGATTTAAAATTTAAAGCGAATTTAGTAAAGGATCTATTAAATTCATGGTCTCCAAATAATATTATAATCGTCTATTTTACAAACTAAAATAGGAAACACGTTTCTTAATTTGAATAACATTATAGAATTACTTATTAGTATCGTACTGTTTTGTGGCATTTTCATAGTTTAAAATTTTTAAATCGCCGCAGAGACAATTTGGCTAAGATTTACTTAAATACACATAAGTAAATATGTCGATATGTTGTTTTTTCTCAGTTTGTTACGTAATCCTATGTTTTCATCCATTATTTTGTTGTATAATGTACGTATGCCATGGATTAATGAAAGTTAGGTATTCATAAGAAAGGTATTTGACACGTCAAAAAATAAGCGCGATAACACTGATGGATTGCTACAAAAATACAAAATAATTTTAATAATAATAAGAATTGCTTCTAGACGATTCTATAGAAAAAAAACTTAAATAGGAATCTCTTTTGTCCATGAAAAAGTACGGATTGGGTCATTGGTTATTGCCTACCTTGAGCTAAATTCGTAAACCTTACTTGACGCTTTGAAACCAAGAAGAAATAACATATCCTCGATATTGTAGTGTGGTAACATTTGACGAATTGACAATTAGCAGTACTGGAGTCCATTTAATTTATTTTATATTTTTTTTAAGTTACTTGAGCCAATGACAAAGTTTTACAGCTTTCGTAAATTCATTTGAATTTTTTTCTATCGTTATCTTGCGTGTCCATATTGTAATTTCTTTTGTTATTATCTAATTTGAATTATATTACTATGCAAAACTACTAATTGTAGAACCGGTCGAGCAATTCGACGATAACACACACTAATGGTTAAATTCCAATTGTAATTAGGTAGAAGTATGTTTTTGTATGTACCTTAATATTCTTTAAATATATATAGAAAATTTAAAGTAATAATCGTATACATTAATCATTAAGTAGGTACACTATATTTATACACCTATGACGTACCAATAATAAATGTCAAACGGTAGCCGATTTCAGCAATAAATGATTATTATCTATAGTAAAATTATAAAAAAAAAACAAAACTGAAAAAAGATAATAGATAACAGAATAGATAAAATATAAATAATGAGTTACAAAATATTGACCCGTTACCTTTAACTTATCACAGATGTAGGTCAAGCTCTGTTGGGAAGTAATGAAAACAAGTTCGTAAACAAATTATAATTATGTTATTTTCATTGTAAAACCAATCATTAGGATACGGTTAAAATCAATTTTGAATAGAACGCACTGTACAATAGTTACACAACACTTTTAATTTATCACAAATCTGAAAAGTAAGGTTACTTGTCAATATGGAAGATTCACGTAATGTTTGTGTTTGTTTTTCGTAAGATATTTTTTAATTATATTCAAGCCCCGCCTTCACTGTTTGCCCTTATTTTATATTTAGGGCACACACGCTTGTTACTTGTTTACCAATTACATTATTACATTTAACAGGGATGTCTACTGATTTGTGTTGCAGATAATAAACATATTAAGGTTATGTCAATTTAGTAACGACTTATTATGAAATATCGTATTGTATTATTGGGTGTATAAATCAAACAATTTTGCATACTAGAAGAAAGTTTTAGGCATCGAAAATAATTTTTTTTTATTCATAAGTCTAAATTTAATAAGCACATGTAATTATTTATTTTTTATATAAGCAGAATCAAAACGCAAAGGTAGAACATAGTATAAAAAAAACAGTTGAATATATGAAAAGGTATAATTATTTAATCTTGAAGAAAACTACTCCAATTTAAATTTTAATATTGTAATATAATTATTCGATTTTATTTACATATATTTCTAATTTGTCGGAACTAGAAAATAATAGTTTTAGTCTCGTCTACATTCCAAAATTATCGTCATATCTTAAATATGTTAGTTATTTTAACAAAAAATTTATAAATCACATGAACAATGACCCTCCGTTCTTATTTTTAGTTCACGTTTGATAGGGCGCCGCTTGCCTACTGCCCTGAGATAGTTGTTGCTACGTGCACTCACAAGTTAGACATTAAGGATGTACATATATCTACTAGTGATTTATTTGTACAGCGATCGACCTTGCACCGTCGATAAGTCTAATTTTGTTTTTAGTAAATAGTATTGTTTATGTTTATCAAAAAAATATAATTAAATATCCTTTACTTTGAATACATTTTTTAATTAATTTAATATCCCAAAAAGGGATATTGTTTAATTAATTTTGATCACACGTGTGTAATTAATTGCATATAAGAGATTCTATCTCTTCAACAATATGTTGATAAAAATCTATTTCTTTTGGATATGTTAATACTTATAATAAATCATGATAATAAAATATAATTCTTTGATATTTTATTCGAAACTGTATTTATCCTCGATGGGGGTTATTCATGTATACTCGAAAACAAGATATAACAAAGCTTTTAATCAATTTAAATAACTTGATATAGACATATTAGTATAAAGAAAAACATCTCGATATTTAATGGGAATAATATTTACAAACATTTTATAATATCCATTGTTTTGTATCCATTACTACGATAAAAATTTGTGTTAAAAACAAATAAATTTGTTAGTTATTTATATAAATGTAAAGATAGATGTTTTACGGCTGTTTAATGTGACTATTAAGAGAAATCTATTGTAATTAATTATTGTATGTATGTATTGTCATTATCGGAGTAAACAAGTACAAATGGTTCCGTACTGTCCAACGGAGATTATTTTTAGAACATCAAACTTGTTTTGGTTTCATTCATAAAATGACAGTTAGACAGTCCAAACACACATCGCGGTATAATTATTAAATATTAATCAAAAATATGGATTTTAAATATTTTGTACGTCACTTTATATTGTTTAAATTCCTGAAGATTTAACTGAGATGTAAGTGGTTATAGAATGGGAGTATTTTGTAATTGTTTCAGATATTTTTGCTGCTTTTAAATAGAAGTTCAAACGCGGAAGATACAGAAGTTTATAAGATGAGTGATAGAGTGTTCACTTGCAGTAAATGGCTTTCTTCCGTCATAGACAACTTCTGTAATAAAGTCTTCAAGATCGTTAAGAGGGACGCGTCCTCTCTCATTGGTCAGTATAATATTAATTCTGTTTATGTCTATTTACGTCGACTAATCCTTTATATTATCAACGGAAATGTAGATTTAGAATTTATTTATAAATTTATTATCCTTATCACAACATATATCTTAGTATTTATCGTATAAAAAAAGAATTGAAAACAATCAAGACTGATCACTGTGACGTCAGTAATGACTCTTGCAGAATTTAAACACGTTTTTTTTCAAACAAATACTACATTGGATCCGTACGAAAATGGTCAACGAAAGTTTTTTTAAATACTGGAATTGTTAAGAAAACTTGTAAATCTATACATACTATCAACATTTTCGAAGGCTTTGTATTCGATTTAAAACCAAATTATTTTAAATTTATTGTATAAATCAACAATAAATTCCTTTCAGTATAACGAGATTTAAGACTTCAGTGTTCTTGTGGTCTAAATAATTAATGAATATGAGCTCTAATTTTAATAATAACCACATTTATGTATAATTTTGTATTAATATGTATATTATATAATAAAGGTATTTAACATATTGATATTTACAGATAAATTAACTCCAAAGGATTTACGTAAACATCAGAATAAACAAAGATGGCGCGTGAGGCGGCAGGTCGCGAGCGAGTGTTGTGAAAGACCGTGTACTGTTGGAAACATTATAATGTACTGTCCCGATGACGCTAAACTATTAATAGAAGATCCTGATATATTCGATTAGGATATTTAAAAAATATTAACGGAATAACTTTTAATTTATTTCACAAACTTCTTTTTGTATTCCACATTAAAAGTACAAGGTCGGTAGAGCCCGAATTACGTTCGGAAATATTGAATTTTAAAATTTTGATTTAAATCTTCATAATATTTTAATGCAATGTGTTGTTTTTTTTTAATACATTTTCGTAATGGGCTCACTAATCCGTCCCAGAATATTAAAGCGTCACATTATTGTAAATACGGTTTTTTTAGTATTATTATTTATACTATAAAAATATTTAAATTTAATAAATGCTTTTATAAAGAAATGTTTTTTCTTCATAACCATTCTCATTAATGTACAATTCTCTAAGGGTATCTGTTAAAACCTTATTAATAACTTTGTCAAAGCATCAAATCAAACCAAAGGGCTTACAATATACAAATCGAAAGAAAACTTTAAAAGAGGTAATTCGTGACATGAGACTACATAATAATAAGAACTAATAATACCGATGAAGGTAATAAATTAGGATTTGCTCTCGATAAGGTTTCTTGAAGAAGCCTTTTTTTAATCTACTTATTATCCATTAGAGCACAGATAATTTCAAATTGGGTAACAATTTCATTCAGTTGATTCTAAGAAAAAAACCAAGCATCGTTGCTACGTATAATTTTTGCTTATACAAAGATACAATCAAGTTTACATGTAATCATAAAAATTGATTGTGCGTGGAGTCCCTCCGCGTGGACGTAAAACTTCGTAAAGTTGGAATATAATCAGGAAGGGGTAAAGGATGAAACCTCTCATCATTCCATGTATTCACGGTGCGTGTGTCGGGTCCATCGTTGTAGTGAGAGGAGCTTCAACAGTGACTAGGACTTGTGACCCAGGTGTAGGTTTAAGGGACCCTTATCTAACGCGCGTTAAACGCTCACCTCCATTGTTCAAGCTTCTCTCTCTACCTACTGATGTTTAAGGGAATTAACGTGTTTCTTTAAGACAAACATTATTAATGTTTCTTATTCACAATTGATTGCCCTTATAACGTAGTCCCTCTCGCTCTGTCTCTTTCTATCTCCCCCCCTCCCTCCAGGTGCGTTAAACGTTAAACACAACCTTATTGAAAGTTGTATAAGAAGTTCACTTCAAACATAATATTATTATAACGCAAAATTAAAAACACAATTGTTAGTCAAGCAGCCGCGCCTTATTTCGATTGGGGACAACAGTTTTGAAGGGAAACTTTAGATTTTTTTCTTAACATAGTGCATATCTTTAGAGAAAGATCCAATTCTATAATAATTATGTGATACAATCAAATTTTACATTAAAAAACGTAAGTAAAAGTTAAATAGAAGTAGTAGAAGTAACGATTACATAAAATATTATTGATGAGTTAGTAAGTAACCATACAATAAAAAGCTGTTACTTTCAAGAAAGAATTTCTTAAGTTGTAATAAATACATTATAGACTTAGAAAACATTTAAAATATAAATAGAAAGAGTTTTTGTTTTGGGTTTTACATATTTATTTCTGTACATGTAAGAGGGTGTTCAGAGTTTCAGACATACACTAACTTTTCAATTCCTTAAGAGTTCAATACCTTAAAATTATTATTAAAATTTAGCGAGATTTTTATGTTTTAAATTCTTTTCTTCATTAACAATTTGCTAAAGATTTTCTTAAAAGAACCTCTGATTATTTAGGAAAAAAGTAATGGAACCCTACAACTTTGTTTTTAATATTTTCACTAAGAAAATGTACTGATATACTTATAATCTGTTAATCTGCTTTCAAATGACGTCACGACGGAGTCACACGTACATACATACATACATACGAGTAGACATATATACATATATTTATATACAGGGTGACTGGTGAATTACTATCGATACTTGAGGTCGTGATATTTGACGATCATATATGACAAAATAAAAATTAATATAACATAAATATTAATAAACTTCTAAGTAAAGTTAACCAAAAGTTATGTAATTAATTACGCATCGTGTGAACACCCTACAGATTAGTGTGTATAACACACACACACACGCGCGTGCGGCGGCGTGGTGATGTATCAGCACGCGGCCGCACGCGTCCACACTTGGAACACTTGGAGCGTGTCCACACTTTATTTATTTTTACGGAAATTTGGTCAAAAATTAAGTACCTATTTTTTTACATAATTCGAATGAGAATCATGTACCGAGTATTCTCCTTAAATATTGATAGTAATTCACCAGTCACCCTGTATAATATGCATTAATAACTCAGATTCAAGTCTTCGATCTGCCGACATTGAACTAAATAAAAGCATTTTCATAGTAAAACTTATAGCACCTTTTGTATTCTTATAACAGAAATAATCTACAAAATACGCTTCGACATTTTTCATATGAACTGCTTTGTATAAAGATCAAATATTAGGTAAGATTTAATAGTGCAGCTAAAAATGCAGGATACTACTATCTTTGTTTGTTTATTAAGTAATTTTGTGGCGCTACGTCATTTGAAGTATTAAAAATGATGGATGGTATGATTTGTCAATCGGTTTTGATTAACTAGAAATAAATGCAATTATATTGCAGATATATGGCGAATGCACCGACAATGTCAAATATAAGATCCACTAAATGGAACAATTTCTAAGAAAATTAATCGGAAGATTTTAGAGTCGAATAGTAGTAGATGATTTGGATTTTTTTTTAAGAATATGTAGTATAAAATTTACCTTACTTCAACCAGCATAGAAAGTAGTGGGAGTGGAATTTTGTTTCATGTTTCTTGGAGATCTGAAATAAGTTGAAACTTCCAAAAAGAAAAGCAATAATATCAATCCAGAAATCGCATCATCTGGGATTAATTAAACTAGATTCTACTTTGAAATTCATCCTTAATTTCAGAACTTAGAAAACTTCAAGTGTAACACCTAAATAAAGCAAATTCTATGAGATATTGAAACATCATCATAATAATTTGAAAACAAAATAACAAAGCCTCATACGGCCGTGAAGCTTCCTATGACACGTGACTATTAGAATATTCAAAATATATTAATTGAAGTGATATTTCTGCTAGGAAGAAATTTTTGATAAACATAGCCTGTCGTGTCAAGAGGATCGAGAGCCGATGAGGTCAAATACCAACGCGCACAAAAATATAAGAATATCTTTACAAAATATAACTAAATATATTAAACATGCTTAAAAATAATCGGAATGGGTATGATAAACGAGTAAGTTTCGACTAAAAACGTCCTGATGTTGGAACTATTAATGAAATGATCACAGAGTTGAAAAAGGATTCCATTTCGATAGACAGCGGTAAATAAGATGAAAACACATGCGTAGCAACATAGTGTGTAATGTGTGTATAATATTTTTACTAAATTCTAAGCTTCCAAATCTCTGAAATATCTCTTGATGATAGGTCTCGCGTCTGCATCAAAACTTAATAGAGGTCATGTTTAAAGCCGCTTCATCAGGGTTTGCTGAGGGTTTTCATTCATTCAGGCGAAGACGCAGGACTCGGGAGTAAGCTACATCTAAATGTATGAGTTAGTTATTTGATTTAAGTTTTTTTTGTTATATAACCACTGTTTAGATTAGATAAGTTAAAAAAAAACAATAATTTGATTATTATCAAACGAGAAAAAAAGAAAGATATGAATTTCTAACTTAGAATTTACATAAACTGTACCGCTCTTGGTTTGGCTTATTGAGATCTAAGACTATTAGCAGTGTTCATTTAAATGAAACTAATATTTTCAACTTATCTGCTACTACTATTATATTATTTTAAAACTACATACTCTCGACGTTTCGGTTACTTTACAGTAACTCTGATCACGGGCATCCTCATCTCGTTTTCCAGTAACACCGTAGTGGCAATAACGCTTAGTTATCCGAAAATATTAGTTTTATTCATGTAGTATTCCAATGACATTTTAGGTTTCATTTAGTCCCTTTCAAAAATGTTAACTAAAAATTAATTCAAATAAAGAAAAACAATTATATTGCGATCAAAATAAGCCTTTTCTTGGGCTTTTAAATATAATATTAGGTATCTATTACGTAGAATATCTACATCACATATTAATATCAAAAATAAATTCCTTGCTTAATACTTTAAGTACGATAGATATATCGAATTAAAAAGAATCTCGATAATGAGTTTAATCAGAGATTACATCGACAAAGTGCTATTAATATACGAGTTTTTGTGAATGATAGCTTTATGATAACGATTGATGGCATTTATGAATGAAATCGAAGATTACTGACTTTACTTGTTTACAAGTCGTTGTTGGGTTTTTCTTTAAATATTTAATGTTTCGGACTTAAATAAAGATATATCAAAATACCGGATGATTAAGTATTGGATTCGTGTACCAGTGAATTCGTTCATATTAATAGATTCCTATTCCTATTCAGTTTTTATTTGTACGAAAAAGGTAGGTACCTTCATACTGCTAAATTTCACAGTTCTTTGTCAAGTTAAAAAGCCAGTAAAATTTGATTTTCTCAGTAGGTATCGAAATATAGGTGCGTGTGTGTAGAAGTAGGTACCTTCCTTTTGTCCTTTTCAGGGTCTTAAAGCCATATATCCTCTTAAACTTAGAAGTTTAGTCGTATCACAGATTGAAAAGATGTTTACCTCAGTGAAAGGTTTTTATTTCAACTCAATACATATTTCTAAGTTATAAGACAAGGTGATGTGTCAACGGCTTCAGTTCTTTATTCTTCTTAAAGTACGGCACCGGGAAAATTAAAACGTTTTAGTCTGCCTCTTGATGTAAAAAATACAACAACATTTATGAATTATATGTCCTTTTTCGATCTGTAATATTTCTTAACTGATCATTTAAGAACAGGTTCGTGAAATGAAAACAATTACTTGTGCCACGGTACACACAGAGAGGTAGAATTTGTTTTCGGGTGAGTTTGAGTGAAGCGACTTCGGCGTTTTGATACCAAACCGTTTTTTTTTGACACTAAGTATATCTGTTGTAGGA